TTATTTAACATGAGTTAATATTGCAACACTAGCAAAATAACACTAGACCATATACCGTACGAAGGATACTTCACTTGTTAAGTCATTACCTTGTCGTGAACCATCTTGACTGCTTTCGTATTAGACGGGCACTCATAAAGTCCCTTTTTATCAAAGAACAGACAGTCTGCATGGAGTTCCACTCCACGGCAGTCCTCTCCACTTCTTGGGAAAATGTAGTCTTCCTTATAAGAGTGATGCATCGCCACCAGAATCAGTTTCCTGCCGGATGTTCCACCTTTGGTACGGACACAAAACACACATCATATTGTGATGTTACAAGACAAAACACACTGTAACATTTCCATGTGCATGTGTGCACGTTTACCGGGGACGCTGGACAACGCCGCGTCGATGTCCGTCTGATAACGACTGACGATGGGGCAGAAGACAATCGTCCAATCACTCTTCTCGGGTGAGTCCACTTTCTTTATTCCTTTTCTGGTGAGTCGTTTTAGAAATTCCTCATGAGAACCCAGTGTCTCTCCGGCTGCATACGAGTAAATCTTTGTCATTTTGCCTGAAAAAAAGAAACTTAACATTTCTGTTGTGTTTGGGGTCCTGGAGACGCAGTTTGAACTTCTCATAATACATACGGAATGTACCTTTATCAGGTTGGTACCATGATTACTTTACGTCAGCGATTCCCAAAGTCCACTGGTGGGCCGCGAAAGTACTGCAGGTGGGCCGCGAGAGGTCATTTACAACAAATAAATGAATAAAATGTTTTTCATTTTCAATTTGGAAAAGTTTGAAATGAATATAAAATGAATATATATGAATATATTACGATTGCTAATTGATAAGACACAAAACGCACATCTTTTTCTCAGTTTAAGTATTATTTGAACAATTCTAGCGGCACATTAGTTATGTGAAACATTAATTGATGAAGCACAAACAATTTAAACGAACAGATCAATAAAACAATAAGGCTTCCGCTCGAAACGGCTGCTCTTATTCAACAAAAGGCGCCGCCAAACAAAACAATGTCAAACGGGGCGGCATCTTGTAGTATTAAAGTAAATATATATGAGCTCCTGACAAAATGTTATACAAAACATACATTGTCGGTTAATACATTTTTAATCGGTTAAATTCTTAAGGTAATTTAATCATCCCTAGTTTATGTTTTGATCTGAGGTGTGATTAAAGTTTTGGGTGGGCCGCAAAAGATTTTCAGATTTCAAATTGGGCCGCGGCCAGGCTCCTCTCCTCTCTCCTCCTGCTGCTCCTCTTCCTCTCTTCTCCTCCTTCTCTCTCCTGCTGCTCCTCTTCCTCTCTTCTCCTCCTTCTCTCTCCTGCTGCTCCTCCTCCTGCTCCTCTCGCCTCCCGCTCTGCTTTCTCCTGCTGCTCCTCCTTCTCTCCCTCATCAATACGACTGCAGCGGTCATCATCAAACTGTCCCTCTCCATCACTGACCTTAACAGCTAATATACATACATAAACTCCTTACAGACATTCCTTGCTCATAGAGTTTATGTAGCCCCACCCCTTATCAGCGCTGCGTTGCCATGCAAAGCAGAGCGTTGCCATGGACACGCAGGATTCTAACCATAGCGACGGTGTGGTGAACAAATTAGTCCTACTGAAGAGATGAGTCCGATCGTAGGACCCAAGCAATCGGATTGGTTCAAAGCACGTTTTATGTGTAGTCGCTTTAGTGCCTGGTTACAAATCATACAAAATCAATTTATTATAGAAGACGTTTGTACTACGTTATAATGAATGAATGAATAATGTATTTTAACTTATACGTTTCAGAAACTAGTATTTAACCGAAGCTATAGAATGTGAAATTAAATATTTCTCATTGTCAGTGTGTTTTTTAGTTAGCCTAGATAGTAGCATAGCATACAGCTAACTAACGTTATCCGATGATCGTGCTAGCGGAGCTTTATCTGAGCTTCTACTGCCCTGATACTGCCTTACCGTATTCACAGCTATTCGTAATGTCATTATTTTTTATCGTAATAATCAGCACAATATGTTACAATTACACTTTTTTTAAATAAAAAGAACCGTAAAATAATGTTTGTGTATATTAGTATTTTTCTAATTAACAGTTTAGACAGCTGACGTTAGCTACACGTTATCGCACGAACAGATTTAGATCAGGCATACTAATGGGGTCCTAAGCTCGAACTCATCTCTTCAATAGGACTCATTTGTTCACCACACCGGAATGGACGGTAGCGGTACCAATACACTCGTTTTTAAATCAATAAACTCCTTTTCAAATCAATATTTTGTGTCATTTATCGCTAAGGCCGGCGACAGGCTGGATGCGTGGCATGTCCGTTTTTATTTCAGCTCCCACGTTAACAGGTTAGAGCTGGAAAACGCTATTTTTTAAGCGTGTTGGAAGCGTTTCCAAGCAAAATAGAATAGGAAAATATGTTTGTCATTTTGACACGAATACATATTAATAAATTACATTTTGATGTTTGAGAGTCTCTAGGTTTTGACATAAATGCAGATATAAATATAATTTAAACAAATATGTCACCAGAGGCTTTTCATGACACAGCAGCGCCGCGTCTGACACGTTTCTGGTGTGCAAAGACATGGAAAACGCCACGCAGCTGACACAGAAACATTTAGATGCCTCTTTGTGCCAACATTTTTTTCTTTTTCATTCTTATTTTTTCGGCCCTACCCATTTCTTTCTCTTCTTTCCTTGTTTTCGCCATTCATTTACCGTCTGTCTCTGTTGCATTCACACAAACCCAAACCCTAACCAAGTAAAGTCCCTTGAGCCAATCGGATGTCAGGAAATACGAGGATCAGTCCAAGGTGGGAGGGGCCGCTCGTATCCCCCCCCCCTCACGATTGGAAGTATTGGTTTGGCCCGGTCTGAAACACACACACACACACAGATGCGTTCCGCCGCAGCTGAGCGGCCGGCTACAGGCCGGTACGGCAGCGTTACGTATAAAAATAAAAAAAATAAAAAAAATGTTTTGACCAGCGGCCGGTTCGGCCTGAAATGGACCGGCCGTTCGGGATTGTTCCCGGTATTCCCGATTGCCAAACCGCCCCTGGCTGCGGCCTTCTTGAGTTTGGGAACCGCTGCTTCGTGTTATTTCATGACAATCGCAACCAACACACGTTTCTTGTGTCACATGTTATCTTATCTGTGGAGGTGTGGGAGGGACTTTGTACGCAGCTCTAATCTCGTTTGTTCACAACAGGTTTAACAGGTTAAACACTTTAAAAATGTAATACTTATATTTCTTTCACCTTATTTATATAGAATTATATTTTGTTTGTCTAACACATACACGTACACACTCACACACAAACAGCAGGTAAAGTCAATGTTAACGCAGAAGGGATAACTTCCATTTAATCAACCTACAGTTCCCTAAAAGGCTTTGAGGTTCTTTTCAAATCCAAAAATGTATCACCGCTTGACCAGGACAGCTGTGAAGTATTCACAGTGCCTTTAGTCGTTTAATGTATCTGCTTTATCCATGAGACTTACCGTTTCTCGATCGAACTGTTGTTTTTCGTGTCTCGTCCGCCTCTGAAGCCAGAAAGGAAATCCAACGAGTCCTGAACGTTTTTCACTTTCACTTCAGATGTTTTGCAGCAGAGATGCGTTGCTGCGGTCTGACCGGCAGGGGTCAGTGTTGTGTTAGGAGATGTTTGACCTAAACGGCGGACTGACTTTGTTCTGTGGCTTCAAAAGGACAGAGGAGGATGTGAAGCTTTCGCAGATTATTTTGCTTGTTTTTTTTCCATTAAAAAATCAACTTTGCGAGACTCATCTTCAGAATGTAACATTGCTTTGTTCATTTGAGTGTAAAGGGCTTACATCGTCCACTTCCGAGTCCAACCATTGCCTCGTCTTTAACTATGTTCTACAAGGGTTGCGTGTCCTTTTCTTTTGATCCGTGTAAGATGGCATTGAAATAAATTATTTCTCAGTGTTCCTCGGCATCAGGAGGACACCGTATTCTCTAAGGACCTAAAACAACAAGACATATGTTCTGTAAATCAAACTATACGGTTAAGTAGATTTCAGCCACCCTGATAAGAAGACGCAACAGAAACAAGGCGCACACCCAGCAGAGGTGATTATCACATTTAATCACTGAGCCCGATCGCAGAGCTTTGCAGGCTCCTCGCCCCAAGGTTTGATTTACCCGCCCTCTTCCATGGGGAAAAATCTCATTCCCTAGACGGATTGCTGAGCGGGCCTCTGCGACCGGCTCCTATAAATCATTCTTTAATCAGAGGCCTCTGAGATTGCAGACCGCCGCGGCACTCGGGACTCGTCCCAGTTCGTCTCTGCAGTCCGGGGGGAGTTTCCCCCCCCCACCGGCCGGTCTGCGTTTGTGTCAGTCGTGAGGAGCCCGAGAGGGACAATGGGCCTGAGCGGGGGGCCTATTTCTTTGCAACGTGGTCCCTCAAGTAGGACAAACCGGCCATGCTCTGGTGGGCCTACCATCAATTCCTGTAAACTGTGTTGCTGTGACTTAATAAAGCATAATGAAAAAGGTTAACTGCAACCTCAAGACAGAGAAAAAGACGTTAGATGGCAGGGGAGAGGGAGGTTCTGGTGGGGGTCGCTGGAGGTTCCTTGTTGCTCGACTTGAAGTGATGTTGATGTTCTACATTTTGGCCGATGGTTGAGCATCAACAATTTTTATCTATTCCTGAGAGAGCGGTTGAGACACACACACCGGTCTCATTCTTTCTTGAGAAAATGTTGTGTTCATCGGCAGATTAAGTTTGCAAAATTGGATTAATTATGTTAAATTATTGATGTTCGGGGTTCCATGTTTTTTTGTTTTTTGTTGAGCATGCTATGGACAGATTTCAAGTATGTAAATCTCAATTTGCAGATAAGTGCTAAAGACAAACCATAAAAATGCAGAAATGTAACTCATTAACAGAAGGTCGGAAACCACTCTGATGTGAATATTTATGAATGTCTAAATCAAAGCTTATAAAACATCACGATTCTGATTTATTCTCGTCAGCTTCTTTAGTCAAATTTAAACGTATTCAATGTTTCATCTTCCTGGAAAAACACTCACAAAACTGGAAAGTAACACTGAGCTTCTGCGTTTACTGTGCACAGTCACCATAACCTGTATGATTAACCCCCAAAAAGAGCAACCCACGTGATGGAAAGCTCAACGAGGATGCAAAGGTGCGTGCTGTGACGTCACCGCGTTGCTTCGTTCTCGTGTCGCTCGGCCGGTCGCGCTCACAGAGCGCGCTCCTGCCCGGTGACCATGGAGACGTCCGGGACTTTCCCAGAGTCGGCGCTCGGAGAAGGATGCCGTTGGACGGACGAACCGAGGAGGTGGCACACAGGTGGACCGCGCGCGTGAGCCCCCCGGCGCAAGTGGTGACCACCGGGTGACGGGACGCAGGAGTCGTCTTTCGGCTCTGGAGACAGCGGGCACTCCGGCCACTTGCGCGACTTCAGCACTCAGAAGGCACGGGACGCGAGATCAACGTTCAAAAGCCATGTACTGTTCCTATCCGCGGAGAGATGGCATGCGTGCTCCTCTTCAGTCGAACCCTCCCCGCCTCACACCGGCTAACGAGGACATCCGTCTGCCTGCTGTCGCTCCTGCTGTCGTGCCTCTGCTACTGGGCTCTGTTCCCTGCCGATACGCAGAAGTCAGGTGATCCAACGCCCAGCTGCCGGCGCGCCCCGGCCAACGGGGCCAAAAGGCGCATTCACAAATCGCCGCCGTGCGTCTGGCCGCTGGGTGCGCGACCGAGCGGCATCGACGCGTCGGACCGAGGACCCGCCGCGTCCCTCCGCGTCGACACGCCCAGTCCGCCGATGGGCAACTTGAAGTTGGGCAATAAAAAGTTACCGAACGCCATCATAGTCGGCGTGAAGAAGGGCGGCACCAGGGCGGTTTTGGAGTTCATACGGATCCACCCGGACGTGCGCGCGGCTGGCACCGAGACGCACTTCTTCGACAGGAACTATGACAGAGGTCTGGAGTGGTACAGGTAACAGCACGTCTCACCTGCGCAGATGTGTGTGTGTGTGGGGGGGGGGGGTCGACCTGCAATTCCTACTCTTGGGGACTGAGGCTGAAAACACCAGTGACTCTTTTGTAAAAAAAGGGATGAGGGATGATCAGCATGAGTCGTTTAAATGTGACCTTTTCTTTGCCTGTGAACATTCTGCTGGTCAGATGAGCCCTTTGGCCTTAACATGCAGATATCTGCTTTTCTTCAGTCTAACTGAATGATGACGGCATAAAATACTGTTAAATGGCCCTGAGGATGATGACGATATTTGGCCAGATGTCTAATTTAATTCTACATTTCTTTCAAAGAAAAAAAAAAAAGGTCAAGTCATTTTGGTCTCACGCCAGTTCCAGTATAGTAAAATAACATTAAATCGTCCCCTCAGTGCCCCTGTGTTTTTTCTAGAGCGTCACGACTCGCTTCACTTTTTTACTGCAGGGAATTTTGGATTATTTAAACTCCACATTTACAGATGTAGATTAGAAAGATCCTGCACTCATACAAACACACTCGCTCGCTCTAATGACGGCTGTCATGCAGCTTACAGACGGGTATCAGTAGTGCGATTGTGCGACTGAAAGGATCTCCACTAATTGGCCCTTTTTGGGGCGGTTTGTATCTCGGAGCTGTGCCTCAGAGACGTGAACCCTCGCTTATTACGCTAGTTTGATGGTCAGTTGTCAAAGGCGGCGAGGAAAAAAAGGTCAAACGCCATCTCGCTGACTTTTGAGGATTGCGTTGAAAACAAACCGCTGCTTCTCTGGAAACGTTTCAGTCAACTCTCATCAATAGAGACCAAACTATTGTTCTGAAAAGTTAAAGTCTCATTCTCAATATGCAAATGAGTTGAAATGCAATAATGAGTGAGTTGAAGGCTGCAGTTGGTTATTTCACAGGTTATTTCACAACGAACCTCTCGAGAACATCATTTTGAATAAAGGGAATTCATCTGCGCCCTCTGGGACCCATCTGGTGAAGTATTTTAAATTTTCTTTGTTTCGTACCGTTTGATGTTGTTGCGCCGGCGACATCAGCAGCTCGGAGCTCCGAAGACGCGGATATATTATGGATAAACAGTCTAGGATGAAGGCAAACGGCACAGGAATCCAAACCTTCGACAGAAGACACCAAACCAGAACTGATGAAGGGGGAGAACGGAGACACAGGGGGAGGGGACACAAGAGGAGAAGACTCAAAAACACGATTCCAACTCAGCACAGAGACGGCGCCAAGCTGTCTTGCATTGTTTTTCCTGGCAAGATGCTGTAAAATTTTGGTTTTGTTTAATCAATTATGTAGAGACCCGTTTTGCCCATCAAAAGTTAGGTCCTCTCGGTTGGTGTTTTGAGTTCGTTTTGACGCGTTTAATAATTCCTTGAGACATTTCCACTTCTTTGATTGTCCTTTATTTTGTACTTAGATGACACCATAATTATCTTCGTACATGCCTCTTCCACCCGGTCACGCTCACCTTCCTCGCTCTCGTTCCGCACTTCACGCTCACGGTCAAAAAACTACTTCGCTTCTCACCAACACCAACACCTGTGCCAGGTAACCCACCTGATTATATTGACCTTGCGGCCTAATTGAAACAACCTCCCACCACCAAAGGGGGTGGAGCTAACAATCAAAACTACAAAACAAAAATGGCTCCTACACATTCGTTGATTGATATTTGGATAATTAATTAAGTCATTGTTATGAACAAAAGCTCAGCGTGCTCTGGTTTAAGTCCTGAAATGTCAACGTTCTGTTATTACATCAACCAAATTTGTCATGGAGCCTTTTAGCAGATGAATCCATTATGGATGTGCACGTTAATTGGAGCTCTGTTGACCGGCTCTTTGTAAACTCTGTCCTCGATCTTTCATGGTTTCGCTTCCAACGTGAAACTTTTACCCTGAAGACCCATCTGATCAATTTAGTTCTTTCGAAGACAACTCCGGCCTAGTTTGCAGACCCAGAAGTAACCCAACGGAGTCCCTCTGCCATACAGCAGGTGTTCCGTTTGCATTCGCAGTGATTTATTGCTCTTGAACCGTGCGGGGCGGAAGCACAGGAGACCTGTCTGCGAGAGACGAGTCTCCCGTGACAACAGACTGCGATGGCCGTGCATCCCATTATCATTTGCATTGTCCAAACTGGAAGTTCTCAGCTGCAGAAGGGAGGGGGGGGGGGTTCGTTCCTTTCAAGGCTCACTTTTGCCGTCCTGCCCTAAATTGACGCATGTTTTCCATCCGACTGAGCGAACGCAAGGACGCGGCGTCCTCTACCTCTATATCTGCCTTTGTGGAAAAGCGAGAAAATCACATGAGAATATACTTAAACATAAATGAGAGACCCCTCTCTTACCGGAGTTTTCCCTTTGTGTTTCTTCCATTGCAGAGGTTTAATGCCAAGGACTCTCGAGAGCCAACTCACCATGGAGAAGACACCGAGCTACTTCGTGACCAAAGAGACGCCCCGCCGGATCTCCGCCATGTCCGCAGATACCAAGCTCATCGCGGTGGTGCGAGACCCGGTCACCCGTGCGATATCCGATTACACTCAGACTTTGTCCAAAACCCCCGACCTAGCGAGCTTCCAGGACCTGGCCTTTAGAAACCAGAGCCTGGGCATCGTGGACACGTCCTGGAACGCCATCCGGATCGGCCTGTACGCCCTGCACCTGGAAAACTGGCTGCGGCACTTCCCCCTGGCCCAGATCCACTTCGTGAGCGGGGAGCGCCTCATCGCCGACCCGGCGGGGGAGTTGGCCCGGCTGCAGGACTTCCTCGGGTTGAAGCGCATCGTCACGGACAAGCACTTCTACTTCAACCGCACCAAGGGCTTCCCCTGCCTCAAGAAGCCGGAGAGCAGCGGCTCGCCCCGCTGCCTGGGCAAGTCCAAGGGCCGGACCCACGTGCAGATAGACCGGGACGCCGTCGAGCAGCTGCGAGACTTCTACAGGCCGTACAACGTCAAGTTCTATGAAATGGTGGGGCACGACTTCAAGTGGGAGTAGAGGTCCGAGGGATGTTTTCAAATGGCACAGGAGGGATTTATGTATTGCACACAGCTAGAACCGGTTTGCATGCTTTGATGTGACGTGTTTAAGCCAACTGTCAGCCGGTTTTCCAGACCCCTTTTGGAGTGAAACCCGCATTAGCAGTATTATTTTTGTATTAGTGCCACTAATGAACATTGCTATAAACTGAGATGACATTGCTTGCGCGCCGGTTACGATCAGCCTGCATCAGCATCCCGTCTGTCGCCAGGATGCAGCCGTCATTTTAGCCCACGCCATCACGTGAGTTCTGTTATTCGCCGACTAGATTCCCAATTTGCTGACTGGTTTTATTAGAAAGCAAAAAAAGAGAAAATTCCAGGCAACGGGATTAGTTCCTCTTAAAACCTGCTTCACTAATCACGGCAGGGCTTGAAAGCAAGACCTTGGAAAATGTCAGCGAAGTCTTCGGGGAGGCGAATTAAGCTGCCGCACTGTGGCGGTTAATCTGAGATGTAAAGCCATAACGCAAGAGCGAACCGCCTCGCGTCCCAAACTGTTGGTCTCATCAGTTTCTACACTGGGTGGAAGGTTTTTGGGGTCCTTCTTTGCAGTAAATGAGTTCATGCTCTGACATGCAGCACTTCACTTGGTTCGCTGTGCTTTCTTTGCAAAAAAACTTTATATATTTGTTACAAAACTATTTAATCAGCACTTTTGTCACAAAGCCCCTTCATGATGAAACAGAAGCACAGATACGGTTTTTTGTTGTTGTTTGTTTTCTTATCTAAAACGTTGACCTTGATGTTGAATTACCTGTTCAATCCTTGAGTGAGAACCTCTTGGAAAACCGCTGATTTAGTACCACACCTCCCTATCTAGTCTGAAAAATGATTGTTTTTCACAGATTAGACCACCGGCGGTTTTTACATCCGTCGCCGTTGTTGCAGCCGAAAACCCTTTTGAGGTTTATTGCGTCCTGCGAGGTGAGCTGTGTGCCTCGGCGTGGGCGGGAGGAATCACATCACAAAGATGGAGCAGGGAACACCTCGTCGTGGCAGGTTATCAAATACAATCTGGGACTCCACGTCGCAGTGAAAAGTTTGGATTTGGTTACACATGAAATGAATACTAAGACTGTCAGAGGCGGACTGATACGAGGCCGTAACAACAAGCAGGGATGTATGAGATGGTGTAATTACTCCCACGAGTGGACGCTGTAAATGGGATTCCAATCATCACACGTCACCCTCAACGCTTCAGGTTGCACTTTGAATTTTACGCTTGAGAGTGTTATTATTTCACCTACCGGTGAACACAGCCGTGTGTGCATGAGAGAAAATAAAAAACAGTTTTAGCATTTGTGAGCAGAATGTAAAACCATTAACGACATTTGCTCTCGAGCCGGTCTCACTTCCAACTCGCCTGGTGCAGCTCACTATGTGGCAGGAAGTCCATCCTGTGTAAACGCATCACCTTATTATTAGATAATCGCTAACTATCCCAGCAATGATTCCATCAGTGTCGTGGAAGCGGACGTAGTGTGCGGACTCCTCGCTCGGGTACAGAAATACAAAACAGCAGAAAGAGCGTTTCATCTTTTAATATCGAATCTGTTTCCTTGACTAATAATAACGATTTCCCTGCCAGTGCAATGTGGGACCCGACGGTTCTCCGTGTTATCGTCGTACCTCAGACGCGAGGTACTTTTATCCGCTTCGACAGTACTGAGGACCCCGTTGACGTTCCTGTGTAACACTTTGAAGACTTCTTGGTGTTTGACATCCAAATAAAGAGAGCTCGGGAAGCGTAAAGTCTGCTCAGACTCTCTCCTCATTGTGGAGAGACCCCCTCTCTCTCTCTCTCTCTCTCTCTCTCTCTCTCTCTCTCCCTCCCTCCCAGCATTCATTAAACCCACACAACCTCCGGGTGGGGCAAACACAGGCGGTGTGGCTGCACCGCCACCGATGCCCCTTCTTGTCATCTTCGGCTCCTTTTCTGTGGCTCCCTTTGTCCCCCGAGCGCACACAGGTGAGCTTACAGAGAGCTGCAGCTCTCTGCATCGCACACATGGGTCCTAATTAGGCCCGAGGTCTGGAGAGAAGAACCCCCCCCCTCCCACCCCCCCCCACCTAGAACAAGCTCCAGCCAGTCTAATCAGACTGAAGGCTCTCCAGAGACGGTGTGCAGGTCAAATCTCTCTCTCTCTCTCTCGTTTCCTTTTTCTCGCTCACATATCAACACACTCAGCTCTATTTTCAAGTGAGAATTCCCTCAGAAACCAGCGATGCAAATCAGGAGATCTTTTGCATTTTGAAACACAACAAAGTGACCTGTTTGCACTGCAGCTAATTAGATGCTTGTTAAGCTTAGTGAGTATTTGTTCAAACTAATGTGTGGATATTATGACGATACATTTTTTTACTCGCTGATATTAATATAACTTTATACATCGCGTTGAACGTTTTGAACATGTGGATTTTGGGATCCGTGGCATAAAGCAGCGGCGTCCTTATTTAATGCTCAAAATACTTGAAGAAGCTGCAGGGAAGCAGAACGAGTGTTGATGCACGAACAGGACAGGATCTGACACATGTTGTTCTTTGTATCTTCCCGTTTTAAAAGAAGGCTTAAAGCTCTCTTGATCATCATTTTTAATCTGCTATTGTTTAATGCTTAAAGCAGCAAAATTGTTTGTCTACGTGTGGAAATCTAAACAAAAAATGATCAAGCATGGTGCATGAAGAACTCAATATATTCTTTATATTTATATATATATTTGTCACCCCTGATGTTCCTCACATGCATCTATAACACAGTTCATCTGCAGAACCCTGTTGGTTGATGTCACTTCAAATAAACACTAGGATTTCTAATGAGCCTCAAAATGAAACATAAGCAGTCGGAAAGAAACATTTCAAAAGAAATCTGTCCGTGACATGTACATTTTGAGGCCATCAACAAATGACTGTCAACAGAGCAATAAAAAATGTTTTCCTGCGGGATATTTTACACGCATGCTTTATTAACACAGCACACGCGGGCCCAGCGTTCCTCTGGTTCCACGCAGGATGGAATGAGCTTCCCTGGTATCCGAGTGAGACAGCCGCTGACACTGCAGAGGCACAGATTCAGCCGAGCACCTCGTCGAGTCTCAATGCTTCAGAATAGTTTAACTTCTGCAGCCGACAGGATGTCCCGGTGGTCCAAATCTCCAGCGGCTTAGTAGCCAAATTAAAATGAAGTGCCGACAACTGTGGCACCGTCCCATGTACGCAGTGACACCTTTTCAACTATTTGCAGACCGATGTTGGAACTGCAGTCTGCAGGGGTGACGCTTAATAAGCGCGTGCGTGTGCCCTGCTCCATCAGGCCCATGGAGGAGAGGGAAGGGGAAGATGTTTAGTCTAAATTTAGGCCGTTTGACAAAACAACATCATGGGACACTCTAAAAGAAGCTCCTTCTGCTTGTACGTTTACTGCTTTCTATTCTCCAGCTGAGAAGAGGAGGAGGGGGGGCGACTTTTAACAAATGTGAGACTTTGTTGGGGACGTGCCCTTTCAAGTTCGACATCTGAGAAACTCTGCAAAGTCCCCCCAAATTGGAGACAGTTGTCGGGCGCCATTGGGCGCCGTCGCCGCATCCGTTTGTCAGGCGAGCGCGAGGAGCCCCGCTTCTCCGTGGAGCGGGTGAAAAAGTGAGGTTGGGAAGCTGATTGGATCGGAGGAGCAGCGTCAGAGCTCGGCGTGTCTCTCACCGGGAGACGCGTTCTAATTAGAGAGCGAGCCCCGCGTCTCGTCGGAGGAGGATAACAAGCCTCGGCCCCCGGAGGCGGCACCCAGATGAAACCTCACACCCACCGCGAAAACACATCTGATGCATCGGCGCGGCCTGGACGCCCATCATCTGGGGGGACGAGATGGGCCCCAGCAGTTCTATCAGGGAATGAACACTGATTCAAGGCCTAATTGTTAGCAAAGTGGAAAACATATCAGCAGGGCGCATTTCAACAAGAGGAGGCCCGTGAATATGAGGTGATGCCACACAAGCGGTTGAATGACATGTTGTACAAGTGCCTTGACGCACAATGTTTGATTGACTGGTCGTATTTACTCATAATGAACCCGTACAGATATTTTACACCAAGCTTTATTTGTATATTAGTCAGTGTTGGATGTTGAGGAATTATAATACCATCTTTGGAGAAACACTTCTTAGTACTTGCACTGCTCTCGTCAGACAATAAATTCAACGCTGCACCCGTAAACATCAGTGTGCACGGATGCAGCAAGGATGGAGCAAACCTCCCCCGGCGGCTTGTCTCAGGTTGGATGTCAGATGCTGGAGACAGCTGCACTCATCACAGCTTTTATGAATACATTACCTTTTATGTTCATCCAAACACGGATTTATCTTCCTGAGAAAAATCAAACAGGACAGATATTCACTTTCAGAACGTTCGGCGTGTAAGACGAATATCTGCCGTCAAAATAACTGCAAATCTTTCAGCCGGGTGTTTAAATTCAAGCCACACATTGAAGCACGAGTGCAGATGTTTGTGCCGGGACTTTTTTTTATTTATTTATTTTTTAGCAGAGATGCTTTATGAAATATCAAAGTGTGTTATTTGCCTGCATGAAACTCCACAACATCAAAGACTCCCCTCCTCTCCCACAAGAATCCTGGAGTGGGTCTTTTTTTTTTTTTTCCCATACAGCCTGTCTTCCATCTCAGCGTTGCTCAAAAGGCAAAAGCGTCTAATGATGGAAGATACAAGATGGAGAGATCGCTGCCAACAAGATGGGGAAAAAAAAGAAAAAAAACCAAAACAAACACATTTTCGCTTGATGACTGACATCTCTGCATCTTCTTATGATTCCTGTGATGTTCGTCCAGACGCGGCGATGCCAGACACTGCGGCCTCACACCTGCAGGGCGGATGCAGCAATCTGGTGCCGTGGGCCCGTCCGGTGCCGTGACCACCTCGCAGTCAATCACTCCGGTGCGCGGTGAGTGGCAGGGGAAGCGCGGCTGCACGTCCAACTCTGACACTTCACACCTCTGCTCTCCAGCATCCCAATGAATCCCCCCCCCCGTGTTTGGCGAGGCCTCGGGATTCCAGCAGGCCCGCCGCTGTCTGCAAGGCTGCAGGGCCTCAGGCGTTTCACAGGTGACGGTTTTAAGTGAACCCACTGCCTTCTTAAGCAAGTGAACTTCACTCGGTGACTAAAATCCGCGGGGAAATAAAAGCTTCGCGACCCCAAATGCCTCCCGAGAGACACTGCGAGGCGCGTTCCTAACAGTCCGTGGGAGCCGCCTCTGGTCCACCAACAACAGCTCGGTTGTCATTGGATGTTGAAGTTGTTTTCGAGGCACCGCCCGGTGTCACGTGATCCAGTCGTGGATGTCCCGCATGGCAGGTCATGTATATTGCATCGACTAAAAAGCGTCTCTCTTCTCTCCCGCTGCACTCAAGGCTCACTAGATATTTCATCTCCAATTAAAAGGGAACGAAAGAACTGCATCACTGGACTCAAGAGGAGAGAAATAATTGACGCACTCGCTCTTGAAACAAGTGAATTATTGAATTTGTTTTTAATTTGGAGAGAGAAAAAAGTCAAACTAACATTAAAAAAAATCAAAAGGAATATGAAGACAAATGTAGTCATTTGTTAAATGTACTTTAAGTTCATAATGTGATCCCCAAAAATCTGTTTATTATGGGATATTTTTCTCTTTTATTTCAGCTGTACACTGTAACAAATTTCCCCGTTAATTTACAGTAATCTACTGGCAGCCACATTTCCTGTATTCTACTGTAATTCTAATTCAAAAGCATAATACTGTAAAAAAAAAAAAAAACAGTACAGGGCTGTATAAAAACAGCAGTATACCGTTATTTTACTGTTCCTACCCTGATGCCCACGAACAGTTAATTACTGTCAAATGTTTTACAGTAGCATATGGCTGCTTCCATGACGTTTTTACAGTGTGAATCAACCTTCATTCAATGCTAGTTAACTTTGCAGGTGGAAATTGGCCCTTTGCTAAGCCCCGCCCTCCCCGCTGCTACACCGTCAAGCTGTCACAGCTGCGGACATGGAGGCCACACCGTCACCAACCGCACTAACTGCACCAACTGCACCCCCTGAATAGATGTTATCCGTGTTTTAAAAGAGAATCACAGGAACATGTTTGCAGTTGTTACATAACCAGCAAAACTCAAACGATTATTTCATTCATGAGAGAATGAATAAATGACTTCGCACCAATTTTTAAATCACTTAAAAGGCTTTTTTTTTGCTGTAAAAAAGAACGTCGGAATGCGTTCTGATCTATAAATACCAGCATTCTCAGTTCTCAGCAACCCCTTATACAGTTTTTCTCAGTTATTCTCTCCCGCTTTTGTTTGTTTTTGTGCTGTTTGTGACATCGTGGCCACCCCGGCCTCCGCCCCAGTAATCCCTGCTTCAATCCACTCAAACAGCCAGCAGTTCAAAAAGTAAAAGCTCCTGCTCGTCGTCTCCTTCTGGCCAGGGAGCATCTCCAAAGACTTTGCAACCGAGGCAAGGATTGAATCCGGCTTCAAGAAAACCAAAATGGGATTAATCAATAAAATGAGATTGCTTTTCTGCGATGCCTCCAGCACACGTAAATATGTAGACTGATTCAGGGCGATGCGTTCAGGAGTCAAGAGGGATAACGTCTCGCCGTCCCTGCTGAATTCAGATACAAGTTGCTGGATTCTCCAGCGAGGTCTCTGCTAACGTCGTTCTCTTGGATCTGATTCAATTGGCAAATGATTATTGATTTCCGCACCAGAGGAGGCCGGCTCCTTCACAGGTCGCAGTCCGTGAGTTCGTATAATTACGTTCAGATGCACAGTAATTAAAAAGACGTCACGCGTTTCTGTGTACCAGACAACATGTTCACGTGAGCCTCCCTGTTGCATGTGAAGAGGAGCCGCCCTCCATCACTTGTCTGCGCCGGAGGAGAGGAGCGCGAACGGGGAAAATCCAATTCTCAAAACGGATGACTGTTATATAAAATTACAAGAACAGAAAGACAAAGAGGCAGCATTATCTCTCAATAGGCCCGGCCTCAGGCCAAACTAATAAAAGCACAATTGAATCAGTGTAAATAAATGATGGTGCTGTGGTTTAAGCATCTCCCTCCCCGACAGCATCACATTGGACGGTGTTATATATTTTAGTAATCCCTCAAGTAGGAACTGTGGGGCTTTTTCTCTGGGACAAATTCCGTGCGTTGCTTTACTTCCCTCTCATCATTCTTTACTTTTGTGTCAACTGGGGTTTTGGGCAAACACTGAGCTCCACCCAGTGGACGCGACCAGAAGTGTTGGAAGAAAAAGAAAATCATACAAAGCCGTCATGTGAAAAAACATGGCATATTTTTATTTAGTTTGTTTGTCTCGCATTGTTAAATGGACACTGCTACTCCACGGACAGATACACACGGTACATGTCAAACACCACATCGCAGAAAACGGATGGAAAAGTATAAAGGTCTGATCATTCTCATGCATTTGTGAGAATGAATCTCTGCTCGAAGTATCTTGTTAAACCCACACATCCGTTAGTCGGGTCCTCGTGTTTCATACTGTGTGGTGTCCACACTGACACTGACATCCACGCATTCAGAATTCGGATGTCCGCGGTCACAGAGACAAGACCGAGGTTCGCTCCCACGGTTCAAGAACGAAATATAAACCCGCGTGAAGGACAGAATAGTGCACGTGAGGCCCGCGCGCTCATGAAGGGCCGAGCGCGGCGGCGGCGGCGCGTCCGGAACGTCCTCGGCGTGGGTCCGTCGTCCGCTGCGCAGTGAAACACGGCTGCCTTCCAAAAGATGAACGAAGGACAGAGCACAAGTTGTAAACTTCACCGACGTTTTGTCGCCAGAAAAACTCCCGTCGGAAGGCGCAGAAAAGGTGGAAACGTTGTGGAGGAACAGCGTGAGACAAATGAATACAACGGCGCGACAATCATTTGCAAGTGAGTCGATTTACTTGAAAGCGGGCGAATGAGCAATACTTATCATTCATACAAAAATGTGTATTACTTTGAAGAAATGTGCAAACGAAGCTTTAATAAAGGATGCCTTAACGTGCTCTCTGATGCCGGCATTTGGAAAAATATACAGTTAGAAATATATACACATCCAAGAGTAGCGCATACTCTACATACTCAGTGTGGCCATTAGCAAGAATCTGCTTGCATAGTTAAGTGCATGCATAAGCAATTTATCATGCAACAACTGTGGTATACTTCATGGATATTTGATCTCTTCTCTCAGTGTCGATCGGCTCTGCGACGCAAGCTGAAGATGTGCACGAGCCGTGACGTCACAGAGACGGGGCGACGACCGCTGAATGCGTGTGCGTGCGGCGCCGTGGCTTTTCACATTAACCCTGTGTTCATCTGAGAGGAATGTTTTTTTTTTGGGGAGACGTCTGGCAGTCTGAAGAGGCTGAATCTCCGCGAGGTCGTCTGAGGGGTAAACAGGTCGCTACTGGTAAATAAAACACAGACATTTAGGAACCCGTCACAATCCGCAGGTCTGCAGACATTTAACAGCAACAACGCATGCTTTCCTTCCTGCACTTCCACCCCGTCCGGCTTCTGGCTGCACAATGACTACATCAAGGATCATTAAATAGGCTTAACTGCGTGTCTCGTAATTACATTTTCAGTGCTTGATAAATATTAAAATTGAATTATAAATCCACCTCCAGTTATACAATTCTGATTAAATACGTTGATTATCTGAGGCACTGTTTGTTGACGTACGGCTCTCAACATTGACAGAGAGCCGCACGTAAAAGGGTTTTGGAAATAATTCAGTGTTTCACTGTATCAGCGTGTCAAAAACTGCCAGTAAACTTCCTTTGGTGACTGAGTTGTCCGTGTTTGATGTGTCCTCCCACCGCTTCCTTCGGCTTTACGTCTTGTGCAAAGTCACTTTTATTTTCACCTCCTATTGAGATGTACTTTTCCCAACTATGCTACAGACAGAACAAGGCAATAATCCAATACATGTGCAGTCCATGCTTATTCAGAAAACAGTATACTATTCCTCAAAATCAATGCAATCCATACAAAGTGCTTCGTTTAAAACCCATTCCTAAATAACTATTTAACAATGCGGACGGTGGGTGTCCAGCTTGGCAGCTTGTATTCAGTAACCTCTGAAAAGCTACAGGTGCTTCAAAGATGTTTCTTTTGATGGTGGAAACACCTCAGAGCTGCACTACAGAGACGGTTATCGGGCCTTTAAAAGAGTGTCACTTGGCCCTCTGGCTAGTTTGCGTCGAGCTGATGGGGATCTTCCTGGACGCCATTGTCTTTTTAGCGGGCTCTTTCTTCGAAGGGTCCTTTCCGGTGGCCGAGGCCTGGGGGGCCGCGTCTGCCCCGGGGAGCTTGGACCTTGCGGAGGGCGGCAGCGAGTGCTTAGCTGCAGCGGACACCTTGGAGGACTCCTTGTCCTTGGCTGCGGTCCCGTTGGCCTGGGCCCCTGGAGCCACACTCTTGCCCGCCGCTTGTTGGACTCCCTCTCGAGATCCGTCCCCGGCGCCGTCCTCCGGACCCGCCCTGGCCTCGCCCGGCCCAGCCTTCCCGCCGTCGGCTGCCTTGCGCGTCTCCTTGGTCCTCAGGGCGGTTTTGAAGAAGGACAAACCTTTGTCCTCTGTCTTACTGTTCCTTTGCGGACCCCGTGACGGGGGGGCTCCGCTCGCAGAGGGGACGCCCACGCTGGAGGATCGGAGGCTGGTCACGGAGGAGCTGCTGCTGGAGCTGCGGCCGGCCGCCCTGTTCTCCGCCGCGCGGCCCGGTCGCCCCTCCGCTCGGCTGGCGGCGCTCGGCCGCGGAGGCCCGCCGTGGTTGACCTTCTTCTCTGAGACCACGTTATTCCGCGAAGATTCGCGGCTGGCGCTCCGGTCCGCCCCTTTAGTCCTTGCTGAGACCGAGCTTTTCTCGCCCCTGGGTGACGTCTTCTTCTGAGGATGGGAGCTTTGTGATCCCGGAGAACCACTCCTCTGTTGGGCGGAGTCGGGGCGCAGCACCTCCGTGGTTTGGGACGACCCTTTCTTCAAGGGGGTCGCCGTCCTCGAGGAACCGCCCTTGCCGGTTTTCGCCGGCCCGTCGCTCTTGTCCTTGGAGGACGTCGCTGACGCTGCACTCTTGGCCTGAGCTCGAGGCGGTGACTTGTCAACGGCCGGGGACGCGGGAGACAGTGAGCTGGAGGACGTCGAGGACGTCGCGGGGCGCTTCTTGGGACTGGCTGAGGTCCTTTTAGCGCAGGCGCTATCCGCTGACCCGTTCCTCGGTTTCGGATCCTTGGCGGCCGCCCCGTGTCGGGGACTGACCTGCTCGGCAGCACCGGCCGCGGCGTTGTCTTCTCCCGGCGGGGCGCCGCTCTGCTGCTCTGCCTGAGCAGCCGCCTTGGAGGGAACCTGCTCCGCCAGCCTCTTACTATCCAAAGCTGCGAGGGCCGACTTCCCGCCCGAAGACTTGTCCAGCTTGGGGGACAGCTTGGTGTCAGCCACCTCTCCTATCATCTCCAGCGTCGGGGACGAGGAGTGGGATTCCAGGGAGAAGCGCGAGGGAGAGTTGGACCGCAGCTGGAGCTTAGCAGAGTGGGACCAGGATGGTTTGCCGCTGTTTTCGCTGAGCACCAGCGGGCTGGCGATGGAGGATCTCGAGGAGAACGTCTGTCTCTGCATGCCCCGCACTGCCGGCCGGCTCGACAAGCCTGCGTCGGGACAAGCATCAACGTGAGATTATTCACCAAAATATTTGGCACCTGTGGAAGTTGAGATCCGGACGAGTCCACGTCACCGTCGTCCTCGCTCCGTTCACCGGCGAACTCGGCAGACTCAGAGAGGGAGGCCAGCGACGTGCGCCTGGAGGACCCGGACGAGGCCTGACTCGGTGGACGGCTTCCCATCAGCCGGCCGATCCAGTGCTCACACAGGGAGGAGCTGGTGGATCCTTGAGGCCCGAACAGACAGAGGTTGAACACTCATAATAACGTTTAAAACATGAGGAGAAGAGACGGTTGGGAGCTCATTACCTCCCACAGAACTGTTGGCGGACCAGGATGGAATGGTGGCACGTCGTTGATAAAACAAGATGTAACCTGTCTGCTTGCAGACTGCGTCTTCAGATAAGGGCTGAACGTCGCTATCGTCGAAGCAATACCACTGTCCATCTATAGAGTTCTTACAGTGAGCTACAAGACAAAAAGGCAGTTACATGTTAGAAATATCTTCAAATCGACCACAAGGGATCTGTATACGTAGAATATCGTAGCATTTATTACTTTTTGTCTATTTTTGACTAAGCGTATTTTGCTCCCCTACCCGTGTAATGTCCTCCCTGCATGGTCCCGTGATGGTTACACACCGCGTACAGGTCATACAGGTAGTCCTCCGGGTCCCGGCCCATGCCGTACGGTCGTCTCCATGGCGACCAGTGAGAGGGAAGACTCCAGCTGCTCTGGCTCCTCTTCACCATGTGGGGGGCCATGTCCATGCCTATCAGCGGGAACCTCACCATGTTCTGCATCTTCATTCGCCGATCTCCGTCCTGAGGACACGTTCATGGAATTCAAGTTGTTCCAGAAGGTTCCAGATGAGTGGAAGACTATCTGGCATCTACCTGTCTGAAGCGTTTCAGGTGCAGTATGAGGATGTCGGGCAGCGTCCACAGACTGAGCTTGATGCTGCCCTGCTGAAGCTGCTTGCAGTGTGGACATCGCCACGCGTCATCAGGAGCGAGCTGGAGCCGACGTCAAAGAAAATTCAGTTATCGAAGAGCAACCAAAATGTGTTTGTTTCTTTTCCTTCATCTCTCGGCCTACCTGTTCCTCTTTGGTGTACAGCTGAAAGCACTGGGCCAGTGAGCAGGTCTGAGGCTGGAGGTGCTGCTCCTTTGCGTGACGCACACTTTCAGCGTCTGGGATGTATTCGTCCTCAGTTCTTTTGAACAGGCTGCGGGCAAAACGCACGGGTCACACGGGGATCACGCCTTCGCAACTTCAGAAAGGCGTTTAGCACACGCGTCAAAATGCAGAGCTCAGTGAGGAGACGTCAGAGGCTGCCCTGCTTTCAATAAAGTGCGCTGGCGTTCGGATTGCACTTACTAGTCTTTCGTCTCTTTGTCCCACTCGACGACAATCTTGACATGCGGTGGCCCTCCGGGGCCGCAGGACTTGAATGCCCTGTTGAAAGTTAGATTGAGAGAACAGCACGTGGAGTTTTTGCTTGTTGGTTTAGCAGCGCAGAATGATTCTACGGTAAAGTATGTTTGTAAATGCAATTCAATTCAACACCTCCTCCAGAAGCTTATTTGCCGCTGTTTTTTCTTGTGGCAGCAGAGAAAATGAAATCAACGGAAAAAGCTGATCTCTGAAAGCAGACGAGCTATTATACATCTCACGAGATATTTTAACATGAATATTCCGCTGGAGAGCAGGCCTACGTAGCTCTTCAATCAACTTTGAGGGGATTGAACTCGCTGCGGGGTTTACGTAACCATTACCCATGTAACACCTCCGCCCCTGGTGGCGACAAGTGGCATTACCTCTCCACGGAGGGATGGCAGAGCGGCTGCTCCTCCTGAGGCAGGAGGTATGTGATTCCCACCACTCCTACCACACGCAAAGTGAAGGGTCCTACCTGCAGACCAGCAAGGGCGACGCATTAAAAGGCAACACATAAACCGGCAGGTGATTCAAACGAAAAGATGGCGTCATGGTGAGTGGGTACCTGCGCAAGGACTCCCGGGCGCAAAAGGTGCCGCATCTTCTCCAGGATCTCTTTCTGAAGTACGTCCCACGTCACCGTGCGCTCCAGATACAGAATGAATGGATTGCCGAACCTGCAAGAGTCACAGAACAAAACCGGCGTCAGTGTGGAAGATGTCTTTGGGGTGACGATGGGATGGTTATAGGGGAGGATACCTGCGTCCCTGCTGTCCGGCGCAGGCTCGGTTGCACACCAGCAGCACGATCTTCTCGGCCTGTTCACTGTTCTTGTTGGGACTCTGAGGCGGAGTTGTGGGCTCTTGTATCTGCGTGGATATCCGGTTATTGTCTGTGCCGTACTTTAGGTTGTTCTGGTTGAGATTTGCATGTGGGCTCCCTGTGGGGAACACAACGTATAAAGACATGCATGTAAAATGAATGCCAATGGATCCAATACGCTGTTTGGTTGGTGAGGCAGCCTTTCTCCGATATTAGTCCCTTTCTAGTCCAATCTCCACTCCCACCGGCGTGTAAAGAGCTGAGATCATTTGTGGGGGGCGCCAACAGGATGCCGTACCGCTTCGCTTGGAGCGGATCTGCTCCGGTCTGAATAGCTCGGGCGTTTCGAAGGCAAAGATGGAGTCGCTCTCCTGAATGATCTCGAGGTCGTCGTCGTCGTCGCAGAAGGAGCGATGGAAGCCGTCAAAGTACATCTCAGTGAGGACGATCTGAGCGGAGAGACGGGGGACAGTCGGGATACTGTTTGAACAGTTAATCCATCATTTGCTGAAAATGATTACTGGGATTAACAAGACGAAGTGTTTTTACGATTATCAAATGAGGCGTTATATTCTTAAACAGAGTACTCATACTGAATACAGATACCTGTACAAACTTCAACCCCAAATTGTCTCAAGGTTCACTGAAAACATCCCCATCCAGTTCACTCACGGTAATTCTGAGGCCTAAAAAGATGAATTGCCTAATAAACAGCACCTGTTGGGAAGGGATTTTGGTCTCTTGGGCCACAGCTTGTCTCAGCCTGGACACGGTGCCAGAAAGAGGCACGGCCACGCCGACCCTCATGCAGTGGGAGCATTTCCCCTGGTACACCACTGTCACATACAGCGGCCTGCAACAAAGACGTATCGGAATGAATCGTCTGTTCCATAACCACGGCTGAGCTCGTGTCTCAAAGATAGAAAGCATCTTCTAATTTTAACTTTCTCCCGTCGGAGGTTGTCTCGACTGGGCTTGACACCTCTTTTCGTGGTATTTCGGGATACGGGGACTGTTTATTACGTAAGTCGCCTTACCGGGTGTGAGGTACTGGGATTGGCAGTGAGATGCAGAGGAACGGATCAAAGGTGTTGCTCTGTTTCTGGCAGTGAGGGCACGTCAGGGAGGACCTACAGACACATGATGGAGTAATCAAATGCCTCTGGCATCGTTTCAAAGGAAAGGTTGAATGTGTTGCGAGCTACGCTAACGTCGAGAGTTGGATGAGATGATTGGTACGGCGGGTTAGCTTAGCATCATTAGCAACTGGTCCACCTCGGTGACATAAAGGTTATTCAATCCCTGTACTGACTTTAAAGCTCACAACGCTTTATATCTCATTTATTTAATAACCAAAGCTATAACGTATCGTAGTTTCACATGTCGAACTGTGTCCCGTCTGGAAAACACACAAACCTGGGTGGTATAGTTACACTTCACTGTAGGAACATACAAAAAATACACCGAACGTTGATTCTGTTCCTTTTGGTCAGAGCCAAGTCTGATGTTTCCCTGTTTGGGGTCTTTGTGCTAAGCTAAAGTAGCAAAGCAAGTGGAACCATTTCTTTAAAAGTGGAATACGCGAAGGAAAACAACGCAACATTGTATTCCAGTATTAAAATGTTAAAATGTCACAACGATCTGTAGTTTTCTGATTGCTGGGTAGATCACAGGAGAGCGTAAAGATGTGGTATTAATGATGTATTACTATAAACATCACTGCTTCTTACTACTCTACTCTAAGTTTAAACTTGTAATCACCTGTCAGCTTCTATCATTTACTGCACCGGCAACTGAAGGTTTCACCTGTATTGCGCCTGAAACAGCTCCTGTACGAACGAGCCAGGTGCTGGAAGAGGAGATCCTTCAGGGGCGCTTTCCTCCTCTACGGGAGGCTGGACAAACACAAGAGACACTCGACAGTTATCGGGCAAACCAATATGATGCATGTTGTATAACAGAGACACTGTCACGTTTACAGTATCGCAGCATTCAGGTTGTTACAATATTGTTACGGTAGGACAAACTAAAGGGGCGTCTTCCCCTCAAAACACATTCAATGTTCGTATATTTGGATTCCACCGCCCCGTTAGCCGAGTACAGAGTTCTCTAAGCTGGATGCTTACCTTGCTGGGGGGTCTGATGTCCGGCTGGATGATGTGGTTGAGGTCTTCATGAACTCTATCAAGCAACCAGAGGAGGAATTCCTGTGCGTCGTGTTGGGAGTTACCCTTGAACTGCAGGGCGCTCTTGGACACCACATTCTGCAGCGGGACAAACAGAAGAGAGACGTTCGAGTGGACTGCTGCTGAAACAGAGAGGATGGTGTTGACAGCGCCGGCGCATCACCACATCGACCGCAGCCGTTGCTCGGCATGAACCGAAAAGGTCAGCGGAGAGAGAAGCTTTTTAAAAGCGGGCCAGTCGGACAAATCCACAACTTAACCGACAATGAGCGATGGGAGACTGCAGCGGTGTGTCCACCCAGGTAGAGTCACCACGGCCGTGCCTGTCAAACGTCAAACGTCAGTCAAGCGAGGTCAAAGGTGTGAGGGGCCTGTGCACCGCGCGTCTTCCCGTCCGGCCCCTTTGGGCGCTCCTTGTCATTTTGAAGGCCCACCCGATGCAGCCTCAGCATTTTGAGACAGATATTTGCGCCACCAAGACTTTCTTCAGCGGCTTGGACACAAATGCTAAAGAATTCAGAGGCTCAGACAATGAGTGAGACGTGGACTCAAAAGGAAAAAGGAAAAGAATTGAATGATGTAATAATATAATATCCTGCCTGCCGGCATCTGTTGGGATTTCTTCCATCAATCACTTTGTCAAATGAAGTGTCACTTTCCACCAATGAGTGTGTATGATGATCATTCATTAGGTCTTTCTGCAGATGGTGCTCTGGGGCGGTTTGGGTGGTGCACAACGACATAATCCTCCAACCACTCGTGGCCTCTGAGCATGGTTATCACGGAGGACTTCCTAATGATCTCTCAGGTCACTCAGCATGCGTGAGCCTGACTCAAGTCATGCTCACGCATGCTGTCCCGAATGAGGGGGCCGCAAAGCCGGCACATGCCGAGCTTCATCCCGCACACGCACACGCCACAAAGACAGCGTGTTTACCCAAAGTTCACCCCGCTGCGTTTAAGTTTGCCAACATACGGCATGAACATAAGGAAGCGTGCAGCAACAGCTTGAGATGTTTCTGGCCAAAAGGATTTACATCTACGGGAAAAAACTTTTGAAGCTTTTGACAGGATTGTTGTTTTTTTCAGCACTTGATCATCGGATAGTTTGGGTTTAAGCTTCATTTCCTCACCGAGTGACGCTTGTACACTTTTGGCCGAGGTAAAAAAAAAGAAAAACGGGTGGACAGAAATAATTTTAAAAAGCGTTGCTTTGTTCTAATAATAAAATAATAATAGAACAAAGCCACGCGTTTTATGCTCATGATCAATTTAGTTCCTCCCATTATGTGTTTTGAACTTTCGAGAGAAGAAAACCGGCTTGTCAGACGGATAAAAATAAAGCGTGTTGCCAAAAAACAAACCTCTGAGATGGTGACAGGCGCAACTCTCAGAGCTGGAGTATTTATGCTCTAATGGCAAATACAACAAACTTGTCAGAGAACTTTTCATATAGAAAATGAGTTTGCTTCAGAGGACCGTCTACAGAAGGCCATGACAGATGCAGGAGTCGGATCAAAGCAACATGCATCTGGTGTCTCAGATGTCTATTTAATCACTGATTATTCACATAACATTCTGCATTATTCCAAATAAAGGTGCACAGAAAACACACACTGTCGCTGCCGATGGCTCAAAATGAAATGCAATTCAATTTTAAAAAGGTGAACCAGAGAAGATCCCATCCTCAGCTGTGCTGCTCCCACGCACCTTAAAGTCTCTGCTGTGCTGCGGCGTGTACTCGAAGGTCCACAGAGCCCGAACCAGGCCGGACAGCTGCTCGGTCACCTCCCCGGAGTCCTGCTGCTGGCTCCCCTTCTTCTGCACCAGCACCCCGTTGGGCTTGGCCCGCTCGCCGCCGCCGCCGCCGGTCGTCTCCCCCCCTCTGAACTGCTCCAGGGCCAGGTACTCCGCGAAGAGCTCCGTGTTGCTCAGGCACTGCAGGATGGCGTTCATGAAGCAGGTGTTGCCGTGGTTCTTGAGCCCGGCGACCCCCGGCACCTTGTCGCCGAACGGGAACCCCCCGCAGTCGCTGTCGTCCGACGGCACGGAGCCCCCGGTGGTGCTCGGGACCAGAGAGGAGTCGTCCTTCTCGTCCTCGGCGGCCTGCTCGTCGGTGCCGAAGTGGGACAGCGTGGACAGGGTCCGGAGGACTCTGTTCATGAAGCTGCCCACGGAGCGCACCGAGCTCCGCCGGAACAGCTTCTTGCTGAAGGATTTCTTCTCCTTGTTGATGACGACTTTCGACATGGTGGCGGTCCTGTCTGGTCCTGCACCCCCCCCCCTCCCTTCATGCTCCCCACTATTTGTATTAAAAGCTATAAATCGAGGAAAGGGGTCGCTGTTTTTTCAGAGATACCCTCATGCTCAGCTCCCTCACTGTGGGGGATCCGGTCCCGGGCGCTTTACACAGGAACCCCCGAAAAAGAAAGGTGGGGGGGGGGGGGGGGGGGGGTCGTATCACATGGGAGACAGACACAGCGGCATCAAATCAGCCCACTTGCAACACTGCGTCGGATTGCATAAACAGCCTCCGCGGGGAGCCGCTGGCGGGGCGCTTTGCGTGGAAGCTCGCGGGGGTCGCGCGCCGGGCGGCGGGCATCGTCTCTAGCGCGCGGTCCGGTGACGTAACACCGCCTGGGTCATTGAAATAAATAAAAAAAAAAAACAACAACAAGGAGAAATCGCGGTGGTCCAGTGCCCGGCGGACATAAACATCAAATCGTGAAATGCCTCATTATTTATTGAAGGGAGCCCGCGGCTCCGCCCTTCCGAGCGGCGTCTGCTCGCGCTCCGGTCATCGGACCCCGTGCGTTTGCCGAGAGCTGCCCGGTTGGTGGTCGTTTACCCGGCGGATGTCTTCCCCGAATCGCCTCCACAGTGAGCTCTGCCAAACCGAGGAGCAGCCCGACCGGAGCGGCGCAGCCCGTCGCTGGCTTCGCGCGTGGCCGCCGTGGAGCATCTCCACGCGGCGCCAGATGTTCGCGTTTCGTTGTCCGCATCCGAGTTGTTACGGCGGGATGTTGTTTTTTTTTGTCTCACTCTGCCTTAATTCCCTGTTCGGGTGGGATTGATGGCGATGCCGCTCCTCCCGTCTCCATCAGCAGCAGCAGCAGCAGCATCATCATCTGTGGGCACCGATGCAGCAGGCAGGGCGGTGACGGGTGACGTCAGAGCCGAGCACTGGTCCATGGTGGAGGAGAGCAGGTACAGCAGCATGTGATGCTGGATGATGCTCCTTCCCCGCCTCTGAGACACGGATTGTTCTTTTTATACAATTAACTAAATGTTTTCACTATTAGGCTGATCATAACAATCAACATGCAAATGACTATTACCTAAAGCCTTTAAATTATTGTAGTGTGACTTTAACTAGACATTTTCACTGGATTTTGTTTTATGACGAATCCATTCTCTAAAAACGTTTCAATAAATTCTGCTCAAAAGACTGTGTAATCAAACATAGTGAAAAAGCTTGTGAATTGGAGTTGAGGCACTACTTCGCCTAGAAACCCCCATTGTTGAACTTCGTACATGAGGTCTTCGATCCCCCGACAGTCAGCTGTGAAGCCAGTTTTCATGATGTGAAGGTGCAAATAAATTTAAAATAAAGAACATAAAAAGGCTCAAATGTGGCACACGTGGCAGAGTTAACAGAAGAACATTCATTTATTAAACTAAACAGATTAAAAATACAGGTTCTAAAATCATTTGATGAAGTTTGATGTAAATGTTGTATGCACAGACTTTGAGGATACTGAATATGAGAGAAAGCTGAACTGCTGAATGTGAATCTCAGTAAACAGAAAACCAGACAGCTCAGATCAGAAATATTACCGTAATATAATTTAATGTCAGATGGATTATATTAGTAGAACAAATAATAAACTACCATATCAGTCATAGATTAAACTGCTCTCACACACACCCCCATATATTCAACTTAGTGCCTTAGATGCTTCCACAAGTAAAAAGAAAAAAAAATGAAAGATGTGAAGACATTTTCCCATTTACGCTCAACTTCATCGCATTGATCATTCAGTCACCCCAAGTTGAACAATAATCAGTATAAAAAAAATAAAAAGTCAGAGCCACACTGATTCCACACTATTAACATTACCATAAATGCCATACTTGTTTGGAAAAGTCTACCCTAAAGGGACCGCAGAACACGTATACCCGCTGCTATTGAAAACATCTTCGCTTCCAACCATGCCTGCGACTCCCCGGTGCCGCCGCGGGGGCCCCCAGCATCCAGCATCCAGCATCCATCCTCCCCCCCCCCCCCCCCGGCCTTAGTAGTCGATGCCGCGGACAGCGGCGATGGTGGCGACCAGCCGGCGAGGCAGCAGCTTTGCGGTCTGCCGGTAGTCTTCTGGTTTGGCCCGGAGCAGGGCGGCGATGTGCTGCAGGCCGCGGGACGGCTGCAGGCCCAGAGCGTCCATCACATTGCTCAGGTAGTCTGCGGAGCGGGAAACGGACATTGACTTTTCACCCATGTGGTTGTTTACCCGTCAACGCCGATAACAACGCCATTTGTCGCTGTGGTGAACTGTACCGATATCCGTGGCCAGCTGTTTGGTGGAGCGGGCGCTCAGTTGGGGGATGAGCAGGATGGCGTCACAGTACGTCTGCATGGTGGCCCGAGCGATGGAGCCCAGCCAATAGTCCGCAGTGTTGTCCAGTTCGGGGAGGTCATCGCCTAAAACGGAAGGAGGGGGATGTTACAGAAGGTGGGACGGTTTACTGTTGTCGTACTGTAATGTTTGGTCACTTTCTGTTATATTTCCATTTATGCTAAAAACGTCAAACGTTTGACATCTTTCCTTGCTATCTCAACGTTGTATTGGGACGTTTTTTAAATGCCGGGACACCTTGCTCTGGGGGGAAAGGCAGCTTCCCCGCGTGGAGGGCCATCTCCAGTGCCGGGTCCTCCTGAGTCACAAATGGCTCCAAGTGGAGAGGCAGAGACATGAGGTACTGCCCTATCTGGAAGGAAAAGAGAGTTGGTGCATGGGGGAGGGGGGGCTACAGAGGGAAGCTGTAGTTTGATTGAGGCACGTTGAAATCTTATCGATCCGACTGACGTTTGTGATGTATTCCTGCGGCGACAGGCTGAAGGTAGGCAGGTCGTCCGTGTAGCTCTCTCCAAAACCAGGTGCCTCCCGCCTCTGAACACAAACAACAGGCACCAACCAAACAGCGCGAGGTGAGATAAAAAAAAAAAATGACCCAGTAAGTCCAACACTTTGCACGCGTATAAATGCAGTCCAAAAGCTCTCAGTGATGCACTCAAATCGAGCCAATCGGCATTTCAGATCAAATCACGCGGTAACTCGACACTTAATCACCTCCATCTTGGAGACGAGGCAGAGCTGGTGCTTGATTTGCAGGAAGACGGAGTCGAAGGCCAGCTGGTTGGCCTGCTGATTGAGTCTGGTCAGCGCTGCTCTGGGCTCCGTTAACAGGCTGGAGTTACCTGTGCCTTTCTCCTGCAGGACCACCGCAAACAGATGCCGTGAAAACAGCGCAGCTCAGGAACCTTTATTAAACACCTGATAATAAGGTTGCCCTCTTCAAACGAAAAAGGACAAAAGTAACCGCTTTCCAACAACTTGCCCTGCTTCCTACCTTCAGGGAGTAGAGGACCTCCATCAGGCTGTTGTATTCGGTCATATTTCCCCTCTGAAGGTAGTTGTACTCCTGCCAGGGGTTCCTGGTGGTGCTCTTCCTCTCCGTAGCGCTGGCTTCCTGGATGCCTGCGAGGCTGCGCGGGCTGTACGACTCTGACAAGTACTTACCGGCCGTGCCCAGGATCCTATGGGAAGTATTGATTGCATTAAGAGAGGACACGCAGTTCCTTGAAGGCAGACACAGAGCCCGGCTGAACGGACGGCCCGTGAGTTACAGCCGTGTCAAAGCGATGAATGGCTTCGGGTAAAGACAATGATTCATTCTAAAAAAAGGTATAATCGCGTCACTTACTTGTTTGACAGCTGCTGCTCAAAGGCTCCACATTGTCTGAGCAGCTCCCCACAAGTGGCAATAATCCTGCAAAGCACAACGTAAAACCAGTTATCCACCAACCTGCAGCTTTTCCTGCCGTACGCGGCAGCTTAGTAATAAAGAAAAGCAAAGATCTGCATTCTAATCAAAAGTGTGTCAAACGTAGAAAGACATCAACCTGACAGAGTTCTGGAAGGCCGTCCAGTCCTCCTGGAAGGCCGACGCACTCGGCGTCTCCTCCAGTTTACACTTCTTTCTGATGGACTGCAGTGTTGTGGAGAAGTCCGACACGTACCTGGAACAAGGACAATATGAACGCTAAACACAGGAAGTAGGGGCAAAAAAAAGGCTATTTCTTCAGCAAAGGGGTCAATACACGTCACTTGTTTGTAGTACGTTATGACAATAAAGGATTTTTTTACTTGGTGAAAAGAGCTTTGAGGGCTTTGAGGAGGCCGCACACGGCCAGTCCGTCAGTCAGTTTGACGCAGCGGTCCACAGCAGCGCCGGCCAGCCCAAACAACTTGCCCACCGAGTGGCTCAACTCTTCCACACAGTCAATAACTTCCCCGTGTTCCTGGAGAGACGAGAGGTGACACCAGCGCAGAGAGAACAAACTGTAAATAGGAAGTGACGCTGAACTAAACGTTGAAGCCATGCGTGCGCGTCGGCATGCTGTGACTTACCAAAGGCACAGCACTGATCTGGATGAGGAGGTGCCTTTCCTCCAGATCTCCGTACAGTAGTTGATACGGTTTATAGGGGTCATAGAGCGCACACACCAGCTCATTCACCTTCAGCAGGGTGTTCTCACCTGGGGAGGAGACACAGACAGGACGTCAGGCCGGAGCTCCGCCCACATCCGGAGCATCTACAGGTCACGTCTCCACCACTGACCCAGGTGCGGCGACATGGCGCCCTCCAGGCTCTGTCCGAAGGCGGACGTGGTCTGATGCAGCTCGAGCAGCGTGTCCAGGCGCTGCTCTTGGGCGGCCCGCTCCACGGCCGAGCTCAGGCACACGGGGATGGAGGGGACCATGGCCCCCAGGGTCTGGATCAGCAACACTGTCACCACCTCATACGGGTTCTTGAACACCTGTTTCCCGATAGGTGAAGTGCAAACATTTAAGACGGCATTCTGACGGAGAGTATTCACGGACTGTAAACATTGCCTGTCTTATTGCTATTTGAATCACTTGTTAATAAACATACCACCCATGATTTGGGATTTGCACTTTGTTAGGTGTGTCTCACCTGGCTGCTCCACTGGAGTTGAGAGTGCCACGAGGAGAGCAGCGTGTCGTAGAACTCGGAGAGCTGCTGATTGAGACTGAGCTCACTCTGAGAGAGGTCCTGCCACATGCTCACCAACTGGCCCTGGGGATGCCGAAGAGCCACACCGAACAGGTCAAACAGACCAAAATGTTATCATTATTTTTTTCTTTTGTCATCATTTAAAAATTAAAGTAAGGGAGAGGCCTGTGGGACTGACCTTGTGACACTTATAGTAGTAAGCAAGGAGCTGTGGCATCCTATCGATCTCTGTGAAGACCTTAACAAACAGCTTGGCTTGGTCTGCAGAGGATACACGTGCAAACATGAGTGTTCTCGCCTCACACTGAAAGGGAACTACAGTGGGAAAAAAAAGGATGTGAAGTTGGAATAAATATGAGAAAGACAAACGGCCGTCTCACCCATAGACATGGAATTAAAGGTTGCTACTATTTGCGGGCTGGCCAGCGCCTCCAGTCGGTTTTTCAGAGCCTCCAGGTGGACACACTTCTCGGAGTAGTCCGGTGTGTCCACCAACATGGCCAGGCTGGTCTGCATGCTGGTCAGCTTGGAGGAAATTACTGCAAAGTCCTGCAAATGAAAGATGTCGCAATCCAGATCAATGTTAAATGCGGTTTCATTTTTTCAAAATATTAATATTGCAATGCCTTCTTTTTTTTTTTTTACTCAAGTACAATCAGTTCATATCAACTGAGAAGAAAGCTGCTTATGCAGGCGCACATTGTAATGCATTGGAACTATTCATTCAACATGAACATACATTTAAAGCTTAAATTGTCCTCCAACAGTCTCATTTATACGTTATACGTTTGTGGGACAGGACGAGTAGCAAAGATTCATGATGACTTTGCAGCAAGGCGGGCAGATATATAACAAGTACAGGCCTGTGCTATTGTCTTTCATTTATACCTGTGTTTTGAAGGTCTCCTCGATGTCTGCACTCAGTGTGCTCCATTTGTCCGCCTCCTGCAGAGCTTCAGCTGCCAGCTGCATGCGGCTCTTCACTTGATCGATCTCCACCAGGACCTGGTGAATAGGAACCACGATATCAGGGTCACAGCTGAGAAATGTCCTCAGAGCACCTCAGCACCGTGCACGCTTTGTACCACTGCTTTGCTTAACTGTCACTTGTGCACACCTGCATAGACTGTACGGTGTCCTGCTCAAACTTCTTGATGTCCTCTTTGACCAGAACCATTTGCTCCTTGAGGAAAGAGGCCTCCTGTTTCAAAGCCTCCACGTCTCGGAGCACTCGGGGCATATTTTGGAGGGCCTGATTACTGCTCTCTACACAGAGAAACACACAGGTCTTTCAGTCAATGGAGGGACATAAAAAAAGAATGCGTACAACAACATGATGTCACAGTGGAGGAGTTTCAACAACAGTAAAAGAAGAAATAACTAGAGCTACTCGTACAGATTGGTGTGATCTGTATCATCGTCTGTACATCAGATGTGTTAAACGGTCATTTAATTATCTCTTAAATTCGTATGCATGCAGCAAAATCGCAATATAGCCAGTCGGGTTCGTGCAGAGCTTCAGCTGAATGCTCTTTTCCCTCTCAAGCTCTCATCAAACGTGTTGATCGCCGCTGTTTGTTTCTGCCGCCGAACAGTATCAAATATCCTGGGCTGTTTTGAAGAAAGGTCTGACGTCATAAGCAGATAAACAGAGGGTACACGGGTACTAGCCGGAAAGCCGGCGCCTCCTTCTCGTATTTACCCTCGATGGAATTGTTGACTTCCTGGATGAACAGCTGGAGCTTCATCACCAGCGTGGCTGCGTGCGAGTCCGCCTTCCCCGGCGCGTCCTTCTGCACCACCGTGAAGGCGCCGTTCACCCAGTCCTTCACGTCGAATTCATCGTCCAGGAATTTGGAAAAATCCATCTTTAGCCTCCGTCCCCCCCCCCCCGCCCCAAAGTGCGAGAAGCCGGGCGGTGTTCAGTCAAACTCTCGAGCTGCGGTCTGTGTCATCGACCCATTGCTAACGTTAGCTAATTCTTCCCAAACAACGGCTTCGAGACGAATAGAAAATAAATAGCCCAGGAAAATGAAATTATCATTACAACTAAATACAGTTCCAGCAGGGCGACGGCTTCCTCCAGAGTTATTTTGTAAACGTCTACGGCTTTAAAGGGAGAGGAGTAAACACATATTGTTTGAAATGTTGGATGCTGGCAGCCCAACTGACAGTTGACAACAACTTCCCCTTTGTGCTTTCTCTTTATCGCCCCTGGAAACAAGAGTCAACGAAACAAACGGACCCGCTGAATGACGTGTCGTTCCAAAATATTGTAAAAGTAACACATCGTAAACAAAATGGTTTACAAAACTCTTCTGTATTCTTAATGTTTCTACGGTTTATTTGTTTTAACACGAAATTACAAACAGAGAAACTCACACTAGCCGTTAGCATGACATAGTGTTACCAAGAAGTCCGTCCGTGTGGAAACGTGATTTTTAGACACGAAGCGTGAATGTAGGAACTCTGCTTCCCTCTTGAGGCAAACAGAAAATACAAACAAGGTTAGATTTAAGGTTTGTGGAGCAAAAAAAGCTTTTATTTCTTACGACTGTAATATTTGACAACATTAACCCAAAGTGCCTCGAGAAGGTTATTTCCTCACTGTAAACTAAAATACTCCACTTAACAGTTAGATTACGGAGCTTCTGCGGTGAGTCTGGATTCCCTTAAGGAACATTTCTCACATTCAAACTCCTATAAACCGAAAATACTCGGTCAGCATTAACGAACACACAATAGTGTTTATTCACACCAGTGAAATGGCGTTTCTCAGTAAGCGATGGGCACAGCGCAGGTCAATAAAGCGCTCAGGGAACCATTGGAGATGGGCTGTTGCTTTGACCCCTCCTCACTGAGGCCTGCGTCCTTCCACGTCCCAGGCACAACCAAATTTCATTTGGGATATTTCTTATCTGCCGCAGGAGACATTTATGACTGCACACCGTTGGTTTAATGAATATCATGCAAAGCAGAAGGGCAACGTGAAGAGTGGAGGCAGTAGAGCCACAGAAAACACACCTCAACTGCAGTTTGTAGCTGCTTTCTGTGCAGGAATAACACTCCACCTGCTCTCCAGCTCATTGAAAGAGATGGGAGTAATTGGTGACATTAAGGACACCGTGTCCAAGGCGGTGTTCACTCCTTCTAGTCTGCTATCCGGCCGAGGCGGGCTGCACATGGCCCAGATGCTTCTGTCCGTGGTCACCTTCGTCTTGGGTGCCTTGAGAGGAGGGAGCAGTCATACCTACTGGAACTATGCCATGTTCACCTGGGCCTTCTGCCCCATCATGACCCTCGTCATCACCATCATTGAGATGTTCAAGCTGGATATCGTACTCAATATGTTTTGCATGGACTGGTCGGACTTCACCACCGGGATGGCCATGTCCTCCGCGCTGATGACCGTCTCCGTCGCCATCACCTACGCCAACTTCTACGTCTGCCGGACATGCCTGTACGGCTGGATAGTGAGCATCTCTGCCTTCTTGTGCGCCCTCGTCTACACGCTGGAGGTGGTGAAGGACAAATTCCTGGACAAGAAGAAAGGGAGCTACCTGGCGGCTCTGCCTGGATTCTGGAAGGTCATGGAGGCCTTTGTGAGCTGCATGATTTTTATATCGCTGACTGGATACCGAGACAAGCCCGCTCTGATCCTGTGCGTCATTGCATACGCCATTCCTTTTCCCATCCTGCCTCTGATCATCGCCACCAACATCCTGAAGAAACTCAAGACGTGTTTGCCCTTTAACCTGGACCGGTTTGTGTTCATATTTCTGGTGATCTCTGTTGTGCTGTATATATTTGCTGCTATCATGTGGCCCATATTTATGTTCAGGAACAACCCTCGACCCAGTGAGTGTCCCCCCAGCTTCTGTATCTGGGCCATTCAGTTTATGGTCGCTTTTTTTACATACGTGAATCTAATTCTTTTCACACTGGATCTCATTTTTACCCTATTGGGTATCTTTAACTTTAAACGGACATAGCGGTGGAGATTGTCTCATGGTGCTTTTTGGAAAGAGGCAGATAAACCGGAAAGGGGGGAGAAAGAGAAGCTAAGCGCCGCGGTTTGGATCTAAATTCACCCTCCCGGTTTGAAATTAAGCTTGGTCCTGAGTTAGTGTTCATGGCCGTTTTCTGCCTTAATATAATGGTTGAAACACACTTATTGTCAGTCGCTTTGGATAAAAGCCTCAGCTAAATGACATGTAATGTAATGTCACAAGATCACATTTATGGATTTTGGCTTTCATCATCAATTTTGATCACTGCCAGAGCTAAAAGTTAACTCGCTTATACCAGAATTTTTAACAATAATTTGGTGGGTATTGTCCAGCTAAATAGATATTCAATGTAAAGTTTGTTGTGTGATGTACAATTAAACCTCATATTAAATTTCAGCTCTTTGCGTCTGTGCTGCTTTGAAACATAAATCCCACATGGCAGTGAGTATTCAAAGGTGTAAAATGTGTTGCGTTTCATTTATTTGAAATTAGATTAAACATGAAGGTGTTCACACACAACCTGGAGACCAGAAGGAAAACAAGGTGACGTTCTGAGCATTAAACACTTTGTATTATTTTATATCTTGCACGAAACTAGATTTAAAAAAGGCTTAATATGAGAATAAATATGTAGCTATTTGTGTGTGAAAGAGATACAACCAAAATCTCCCAAATCACATGTTGCTCCAGTTAGTCGAATCAAACGCCGCATTTAATTTCACGCATATGAACCTGAAGACAAAGGTAACAGAGATGAGACATGATGACACAAGGGATGTTCATTTCAACATATTTACCTTTTGCCTGCTGGATAAATTACAGAATTAGAGGAAAAACTGTGGATGCAGCATCTATGCAGGGTTCAATTAAACGCAACTGACGTGAACTGGAGCCAAACACAGTCTCCTCCACCTACGACCATCAATCTTTATCAACCTGGAAATTTGATTAAAAGTAACTATGCAAAGGACGCCCGCCTGTCACGTAAGACGTGGCTCGACCTCGTTCTCCTTGGACCTCCGGACCTCGTGCTCCCGACTTTGAGCGCCACGTGCGGCCCGTTCAAGGGCTCCAAGGGCCTTTTGCGCCTCCTGGAGATAATCTCCTCATCGTCCTCTGCAGAGGCCGGATGGTGAGTCCGTGGGGCGTCTGGTGCGAGTTCGTCTGGTTCTTCTGCACCGCGGTGCCCGTGGTCCTGCCCGTGGTTCGAGGCCAAGTCATGGCACTCGCCCCTGGCCCTCTTCCTCCCCCTCCCCCAACTGGGCGGACCTGCTCAAGCTGCTGCAGGGTCTGCTGGCAGGGGCATTTTTTGGGGGGGGCTTTATCAAATAGTGTAGAATACTTCATTCTCAAAAGCTGTGAACAGATTATTGTGAATTTATTAAAATTATTTTGAAACGATGTCCGCGTTGTGTCTTACCGCAGTGGACAATGTCGCCACACCTGTATTCATCGTTTGAAGTTCTTTGTATTCAGATTTAACTTCAGTGGACATTTGACTGTTTTATGCCTCTCAGCTTCCACCTCAATAGACAGTTTATTCAAATCTCACACCTCATTTACACGTCACCAAACCGAGACAGTAGTAGAAGCAAACGGTTCCCGCAGTAAAACATTTAACAATAACGTGTATTTAGACACATTTTATGAATTTCTTATCAGTAAAAAACGAGGCATATACAGACAATGGTTCATTCACCAAGAGTCCGACTGTGCCCCCTCAGGCCTCCTCCGCTTCCTCCACCTCCGCCGTCTCCAGGAGGCCCTGGAAACAGAAGTAGTGGGAGTTGTGGTGGTCCGGAGGCCTGTTGGGACTCGAGCCCACCGCCTCTGGTCTCAGCGAGGGGAAGGGTCCGGCGCCGCTCCCCTTCAGGTCCATCTCCAGCTCCAACAGGATCTGCAGGGAGTAGGTCATCTCCGTCTCACTGCGGGGGGGTAAACACGGCACATGTATTCCTGCTTTCACACGCTTGTGTAACATTTACAGCGATATAATAATAAAGTGATTCAATGTGTCAATTTGTATACGAAACACAGCAATGGCCAGATGTCATTCATTAAATTGTGTTTGCTCATTATTCACAGGCGTCTTCCCCAAAGTATCACAGTCAGATTACTGGGAAGCTCATTGAAATTTGATATATTTTATATATCACAATTCTGAAATAGTTCAGTTACTTAAAAATAGCAGCGCTATACTATAAAAAAATCCTCCAAAATGTACTTTAAGTATTAAAGTAGAACTAACTGACTCCTGCTAGTATTGTAGTATCATATCACGGGATCAATATTCCAAACACCCGATTGCTTTTGCACCGCACGTTTAGTATAATTCATTTAGAGGTACAGAGAATTAAAATGATATTCAAGTAAAGTAAAAATACATTAGAGTTGTACAGAAGCACAGCACTGAATGTACTCACTTTGCACACGCGTGTGCTGCTATTCTGTGACACTCACTTGAGAGCAGTGAAGAGAGAAGGAATCTCGTAGTCCCTGAGGAGCAGAAGCGTTGGCAGCCACCCCTGGTCCAGACCCTGACTCGCATCAAACCCTGGACAGGAAAGAGGTTTAGATGTTTAGGAAGTAAATAAATAAATATGCTTCCTTCAATGTTCCCACCGGGATGAAATCCGACCACCAGGTCCGGCTTGGCCGCTTCCTCCTTCTCCACCACGTCTTCCCAGAAGTGGTGGTAGAGGCCCTTGTGGGCGCTGACGTAGACCCTCTGCCTGGGGCCGGCCCCGCTGAGGGGAGGCCTCAGGACGGGGCCGTCCGCCACCTCCGGCCCCACCAGGACTATCGTGATCCCCTGGTGTCCGGGGAACATGTTGTTCAGCTCGTCGTAGTCCGTCGTCCTGGCGGCCGCGGTCTCCCGGGGGCCGGCCCCCACCAGGTGCACGGTGAGGGGTCTGGAATGAGGGTCCAGGCCGAACAGTCTCATGGCCCAGGCGACGGTCAGCGGCCTGGAGAAGAGCTCGCTGCAAACCCTCCACAGCGACTGCCTCAGGTCCTCGCCGCCCGGCGGAGACCTGCCGGCCCACAGGTCCTCCGTGTTTGCTCCTTCCAGGAGGGCGTCCAGGCGAGACGTCAGGTCCCCCTGCATGGCGAGCCAGTCGTCCCAGCCCTTGACCTCGGCCTGGGGCTTGGACCACTTCCCTGTCGGGAATGGAAGGGATCCTGCCGATATGAAAGACGGGGTTACTGTCAGTTCGGCGGTGGGACAGAAAGCTCACGAGCTACGCCAACAGTCCTTCACGTCTACGTTACCGCTGAGTGGAAGAGATCCCACGACTCTGTCGATGGCAGCCAGACGCAGCTGTGGGCAGAACTTCTTGTGTTTGGGCCAATCCTCCTTCTGACAGGCCTTGCAGCAGTAGTAAACACCCAGACATCTGCGCAAAGACGCGAGTGGAGTGAAGGGTCTGCGAGGGCGACGCGCCTGCCGCCGATGGAGGGATGCGTGTTCGTACCTGGTGCAACGCTTCAGGCTCCGGCCTTCTGAAAGGCCGCCCGGACGAGTCTCGCAGCGGGCGCAGATTTTAAAAGATTCCTCCATCTTCTCAAACACCTCTTTTCGAGCCTGGAGGGTCATGGCTTTGAGGCTGTTCTTGGGACCAGCTCACCAGCTCAGTTATGAACTGCACGAGTCCGAGGGAGCTGCACACTTTCTATTCTTAGAGGGGACACGTGCTTCAGAGCAGCAGAGCTCACATGGATTCAGCAGTCTGAAGCCTGCAAAGGAAACACGTCCCAAAGCGCAATCGCGACTCCTCCAATTAAAACAAATAACATGAAACAAGCCGCGGCGGCCTGCTGGCATCTCAGCCGTTAACGTGATCATGTTTAATATCAACGTCAGCTCCACAAACTCACCTCACCTCTCGGTCCTCCACTCCCCGTGTTCTTCTTCTGCTGTGGGTTTGTTATCCGAGCGGCCTGGTGGTGTCCCCCCCCCCGCGTCCTCCCCCCGGGCCTCTTATAGCACCTGTTCTTCCCCTTCTAGAACAACGTGACGACTCCAGACCATTCCCGACTTCACAGTAAACAACATGCTCATATTTGTCCGTTAAAATAAAAAAAAATTAAAAAATCAAATCATCAAAGTGACAAAAGCGAAAAGTGATTCGCTTTTTCGGAAATTGAAGAAAAAATAGCAGAAAACATCCATTGCAGTGAGACAAGAAGCCGACTATTTGACGTTTTATTGACATAATCAATTACAATTCAAACCCATTAGAACATTATTATCCCTTATTAAAACACCGTGCCCCCCCCCCCTTAGAGCCAAACGCCACCTGCATAATCCTCCACTAGAGAGCAGAGTCGCACTGTAGACACAAAGTGACGTTTCCTCCTGATGGAGCCAAACGACGAACACACGTCGCTGTAATTATATTTAACGCATTCGTGTTAATGTGTCGTGATTCAGCGTCAGGAGCTGCTTGTGTTCAACATTCATCCAGCGAAGATGTTAAAGGTGCCTCGTCACTTTAATGTCGTCTCTATCCTTGTTTACCTTGTCATTGCTTTTATTGTGCGTCTTTGAGAACGTGTTAAAGTACCACACACATAGCATTATTCATTGAAAAGGCCCGATGGCTCATGGAGTCTCCACTGGTGTGGTGTTAATGCAGAACGCCGATCAGAGTACAGCAACGACCACAGAGCAGGATCACAAGAAGTACCATTTATTCAGTTGTCATTTTAGATCAAGTGTTACATTAGTATGCAAATGATCCGAAATCCATTGTGATATTCTGGAATATGTCCGAATGCGACCAAATGACTGAGAAACTGAAATAAAAATTTAAAAAAGACTCATTTCTTCCTCATTTCCCACCTACATGCCCCTTCTCGTGCTGCGTCAGGGAAGCAGTGGAGCACAAAGCTTTGAACCCACCGCGGAGCCCTGAGGTGCCGCGACGCTTCATAGTCGTCTCCACTCATTATACATTTCAGTGTTTTAAGCGAGCTACTGCAGCAGTGAAGACGTGTTTTCCTCACACTCAGAGCCGCCGAGATCTGCACACCAGAGTTATTTCCGCCCCCCCACCACAGCGACCCCATGCAGTCCACGATGGCGTCCCAGCGGAGGCTCCTCTCAGTCCGCTCGAGGCAGCGACCCCTGGAAGCGGACGTAGTGAGAGTTGCAGTAGACCGGGGCTTTGTTGGGGCTGGAGTGGCGCTGCTCGGGTTTCTGGGCGCTGAACGGGTTCGTCCCGCTGTCCCTGACGTGCATCTCCAGCTCCTGCAGGATGTGCAGGGAGGCCTCGAGCTCCGCCTCGCTGCGGAGACACGGACAGAGCTCAGGGATCACATCACTAAGTCGGCTTCATGGTCCTCGAGAAACTCCGTCAACACTTTGTTTTATTATAGAATTATGGACGGACCTGAACACAGTGAAGAAGGAAGGGATGTCGTAGTCTCTCAGCAGCAGCAGGGTGGGCAGCCAACCTTCTAACAGACCCTGGTTAGCGTGGAAACCTGCGTTAAATACACACGTGTGAGACCAACAGTAGCATGACTATAAAAGGTGGTCGGCTTCTTGCTGACGGTCTCATTGACTCGTGTTAATCACATGATCATGTAGTTAGTTTCAGGCTTACTTCATTCAGATTGTGAACGAATTAGAATGTTGCTAGATCCTGATTGGTGCTCAAAATCAACTGAAACCCACAAAGGGCTGAACAAGTGTTAAACAAGTAACCGATCCTTTACACTCGGGGCTAAGAAAGGGTGTCAAAAGTCTCTGAAAATCCCATCAACCATCAAAAAGACGCAAAGTGGAATAATGCATCTTGAGAGCCTTTTCGTTAGAATAAGCCGCCCTGCAGCACACAAACCTCCCTGAATGAGTCTCCTGACTTGCACGTCTCTGCAGGGTGACCGGGGGAAATGTCGGCTGATTATCGAACCGACGGAGCTTGATTAGTTCTCCTTCAGCCACGACTTCCTCCTGTTAGCTAGAATATATCTCGTCCAGGACGTGTCGCTGACTGTTTTTGCAGGAAGCCTAATTATCAATCGATAGGACTCGACTTCTCTCCGAACAAGCTGACGTGGTTCAATAACCTCCGCAGGGAAGCTTCTTCTAACTCGAACCTCGTGCAGCTTTATTCCTGCTGGATTGGGTTTCATAACCCTTCAGCACGTTAACCCGCGTTTACAAAAGCATTCGCTTCTCTTCCTGCTCGCAGCATCGGGCTCGACCTTCAACCAGGGACTCCGGCTCAAGCCCCCATGGCAGCACGGACTCTGAACCCACCTGGTTTAGGTGGGTTCATCCTCCCGTGAGCTAAAGCAGGCGGCAAACAGGACGTCCGTTTGTCCACGAGAACGACGGGATCACGGATTCACTTCCAATCAACACCGTGAGAAAGCTTTGCATGTGTTGAACTGAGCTGCTCGGCACGTTGCTGGTTGGGAGTGTATGTGGGGGAGGGGGGGGGCGGGCGCGTGGTACTGGCACACCCGGAGGGTATCACGTTATCCGCCGCCTGCAACACCTTCCTGGGGGAAACTCCGATTGCAGAAAGGAGAGGATCTGCACGTGAATTATGCACGTCACGAAACGAACGTCCCTGAGGTCACACTTCTCATCGTTATAAAACATTTAACGGGGAGAAAGCGTTTAGCCCTTCGGACCTTCGGGGAGGGGGGATGACAAAGAGACGCCGCCGCCGTTAATGGCAACGCAATAATTGCCTCGCCACGTGGCGGACGGCCGTTGATATTATTAATAGGCTTATCTGAAGCGATGCAAGCATGAAAATCCAGTTCATTTCACACATGAGCAGCAGCCGCGCTGCGGCCTTCCGACGCCCCGCCTCCGCACGCGAGGCCTCGCTTGGCCGTGACCTTCGCACACACCTTCCCTTTTCATTCCGTCCGTCAGGCCGGCGGCTCCACCGTCACTTTTAAGCGCGTCGTGACTCGGCGCTCTGAAGCCGCGTGCATATTTAGCTGCGGCGGAGCCAAAGGTCGCGGGGTGAGGCCGGAGGTCGGGGCCCCCCGCTGCCGCTTCGCAGGGGTCAAAGGGCGCTGAGCAGATTCAGTGTCGGTTGTCTGTGAGGGGGCGTAAGGCCGTTTGTGATGAAATGGGGTGAATGTTGAGGGTCAACACTACTCATAATGCAGAGGATTGTGGATCTGCGTGAGCCGCGTGTGGTTTCGCGTACGTCCGGAGCTTGCAGTGTTCTCGAGAGTGAATCTTTAGTGACATTTTGCCGAGTTCAGCAACCAGAAGCCAAACTCTTTCCCAGTCGCTCCAATTAATCTTCCGCCATAATAATCCCGATAAAAGCCCCGAATAATAATCAAAAGCCAGAGACCCTCAGCGACGCGTCTCCCGCTTGCTCGTGTTCCCTGGAAGAGGCGATCGGCAAATGAGCGTAAACAAGCCACTGCTTCCACGAGACGGCCGAGCAGCTTCTATTTATAGATCGTCACGCTTTGATGTTTGATTAGAAAAGCGCTTTGAGGGGAAATCGTCGGACGCACACACACACACCGGGATGAAATCCGACCACCAGGTCCGGCTTGGCCGCTTCCTCCTTCTCCACCACGTCTTCCCAGAAGTGGTGGTAGAGGCCCTTGTGGGCGCTGACGTAGACCCTCTGCCTGGGGCCGAAGGACCTGAGAGGGGGCCTGGTGACGGGGCCGTCCGCCACCTCCGGCCCCACCAGGACTACCTCGATGCCCTGGTGCCCGGGGAACATGTTGTTCAGCTCGTCGTAGTCCGTCGGCCTGGCGCCCATGGTCTCGTTGTGCGAGGCCCCCGCTATGTGGACGGTGAGCGGTTTAGCGCGCGGGTCGAGGCCAAAGTGTCGCAAGGCCGTTCCGACCGCGAGGACCCGGGAGAGGAACTCGCTCTGGATCCGCCACAGGGACGCCTGCAGGTCAGAGTCGGCCGGCCTCGGCCTGCCGACGTTCTTCCACAGAGTCGCCATGTTGGCGCCAGACGAGGCGGCGTCCAGGCGGGGCGCCAGGTCCTCCTGCATGCCGAGCCAGTCGTCCCAGTTCTTCACCTCGGCCGCCGGCTTGGACCACTTCGCCGTGGGGAGGGGGAGGTCTCCTGCGTAGGTGGGGGAGGACGCAGATCTCATTAGAGACGATGAGCGTTTCTTTTGCGTGATTTGTGATCTCAGGCGGCCATCAACGCCTCCTCATTTCTCACCGGTGAACATCAGCCACTCCACCAGTCTGTCGATGGCCACCAGCCGCAGCATCTTGCAGACTTTTTTGTGCAGAGGCCAGTCCTTTCTCTGACACTCTTTGGTGCAGTAGTACACGTTCAAGCACCTGTGAGAGAAGAGCAGGGAAATGAAATGGAAAGAAAAAGACACGATATTTAAGATCTTTCAAGGGGCCCCATGCATTCAGAAATGTATGTTTCTCTTAAAACATTAAAAGTTGACGTCACCCATCACAGTCTTATTTGGTAACGATAGCAAAGGACCTCGGGTACATTGGGACGACAACGTTTCGTTTGTAGCGAAACGTAAATAGCATCTTAGCTTCATCTAGAATGTATGTCCCTGGAGACGGATTATCTCCCGTTTTAGAAGACAGCTGCTCGCAGCGCATGTTCGCGGTTTACGCGACCCCTTGCGTGCGGACGTGAGCCCTCGCGTTGCCAACGGGGTTTGAGTGGCGCGGCAACGCGTTGGAACGCAGTCGGGTCTGGCAGCTTTGGGACGCCACATTAACTTTACCGTTAATGCCTCACTGGCTTCCTTCGGCGTCGATGGTCGGCGCGCAGCACTCACTTGACGCAGCGCTTCAGCGTCTGGCCCTCGGCGAGGCGCGCCGGGAGTCTGTTGCAGCTGGTGCAGAACTCAAAGGTCTCCTCCATCTTCTTGAACATCTCCTTGTAGTTGCGGAAAGAGATCCCCTCGGCTTTTCCCTCCACGGCAGCCCTAGTCAGGATGAGGAAAGACAACATGAAGAACACGGCTGGGCTTACTGGCGGATGCTGGTTAGCTTCAGCAGCTCTCACCTGTACTCCCCGTAGTCCTTCATGTTGAGCTTGTCGAGAATCACCTGAGAGAGCCCAGGAACGCCCGAGTCCAGCGAGTAGAAGCCCGACAGGATGGAGAAGACGCTGTCGGTCCTCGGGGTGTCCGGCTGTGTGAGCGCCGGGATCTGGGAGGTCATGTTGAGCCCTTCAAGGTCCACGGGAATTTTATTTTTATTCAACCTTTTGTCTGTGCAGGTAATCTCATTCCGACGAGCCGGCGTGGACCTGGATTGTGTTTCACAGCTCACAGCTAGCCAAAATAACACAGCCCCCCCCCTGCGTAAAACAACCAATCCATTGGATTGTGAGCTGTGTGCCCGCTGACAGACGCAGAGTCACTGGGACGTGAGGGACGGCTATTTCCGAACCGAGGACGACGCGCCCACATGGAAATAACAAAGGAAGCTCGTGCGGATTCCCAAACGTGACCTTTTCAAGGACACGAACTCATCACATTACAGGAGCCAACGCGCACACGGTAGACTTTAAAGTACAACGCCGCTCACTGATGTGCACGCCGGTCCCATGGCCCTGACTCGTAGACACGGGAGGGGTCGCTGCCGCTCGTCACGACCCAAACTCTGCCGGGGAGATTTGGGATCCAGCGTCTCGTTCAAGGACACATCGACGTGGGCCAGGACCGCTCTGAGCCCCCCCCCCCCATCACCCCCGTAACCTTCTGTACTTGCATGTCGTGGGTTATTTACTTGGTCTGAGTCATGTGGGGAAATAGGAGGAGAGGGAAATACGATCTAAGCAGATCCGAGAGTCTTTCTTTAGGTTTTCTGGACATCCAAGACGTTATGAACGTCCTCCAAGTATGCAGCACCGAGACGTTATGCACGACCACAACTTTCCCCCCACTTTCAGGAACTTTTTACCAAGCGTTGCTGGGGAATAATTTAGCCTTATCATGTCTGTGGAGAAAATTGAAAGGCCTATGTCTAATTAGCTCCTGCATATCTACAGCGCGGGGGTTGGAAATGAACAGATTCCCCCCGGGGAGGGCAGGTTTCTTCCTGTTCTTCCTGCTCATCCTTCTCACATTTCTCAAAGACACTGGTGAGATTTTTCCACATGCAAAGTCTGTCCACTGACTGACTATCTGTCTCCGGCATCATCGCATTCTCCCTGCGGACTGAGGACACAGACGGACGGATCGGGGGGGCGTACCTTTGGGTCCGGGCGAGCGCAGAACCTTCTGGACGACTCGCAATGTTCTCAGGGTGGAAGTGACGGGCGGCTGCTTGTCTCGGACGTCAACACTTCCTGCGGCCTTCACGGTGTCCCTCACCGGGGGTCAGTCACGCACAAACCACCACAGAGCCGGAGCCGTGGAAGTAGACAAGGGGGGGAGGGGAGGTGAGGGGGTGCTCGTGGCGTCTGGAGGTATGGGGGTGGAGACTGGGTGATAAACCAATGACAAACAGGGTTTCATGAATCAATATTAGTGCTGTAAAAGCACGTAGACACATTATCCTATCCGTTTTATTCAGGTCACAAACTACAAAAAGCTGCTGATGTTTGGTAAAAAAGACATTTGCATGTGAAAAAAACAGTGTTTGCAATAATGACAAATGCTACCTTAATTTAAAAAAAATTTATTTGGTCCATCGGAACCTGAGATTGAAAATTAAACATACATATGTTTGTACACATATACTCATATTCCCATCCCAGAAAGGTTCAATAAAATATAGTTATCCCATTCTTCAGTTTGATTATTTTCACCATTAGTTTCCATTGTTTGGTTTTTATTGAACTTTCATTTTTTTCTTTTAACAATTTTAAATGGGTCAGTTACCCCCCCCAATCCCCCCCCCCCCCCCCACACAGTCTTTCCATCTTATCTGTGGCTTTAGTAAGCGTCTGTACAAGTTACAAGGAGGGACCCGACGAAGGGGAGGGGGGGAGGACGTCTCCAGCAGGGGGCGCCCCCGACGCACAGAGAGTCAGAGAGTCACCACCACGACTTCACAGGAGAGGAGCAGCTTCCAAAAGGACACATAGAATAAAAGAAAATAACAACAACAACGACGACGACAATCTCATGTGAGTGTAAAGTGATCCAGCGGTTTGGAGGTGCGTCGTCATCGCAGGTGACCCAGTGCAGGTTTGCTTCTCTCCTCCGGGGCCTTTTAAATGGGTCGCCCGTCGGTCCGGTGGTCGCCCGTCGGTCCGGTGGTCGCCCGTCGGTCCGGTGGTCGGCGGTGTTCGTCGGACGACAGGCCGGCAAACCACTCGCACAAATAAATTAACGGCCGGCGGCTGTGGACGGACGCCGCTGGCGCTTCCCTTCGGAGAGAACGTATTCACAGCTGCCTCAAGCTTTCGCCCAGAGACGCCCCGCCGCTGCTCTCACCCTCGGGGGGGGGGGGGACGTGGTCGTGTGCAGGCAGGACGAGTACGACTGCGTCGGCACTTTCTCGACTCGAGGCTGCTGAGCTTAAGTCCTCGCCTGAATCGTCTCATGTGGGAACTTTGTCTTTTAAACTCTAAATGAACTCAACATTAAAAAAAGGAAAAGGATTCTCCAGCCGACAGTGAATCCCCGCGTGAACGCTCCGCCGATGCTGCTTGTCAGCTTCCAGGTTTTTTTTTTCCGTGTGCCCCATTTCACTACACAGCGACTCTCCCGCTGCTACAGCACCACGTCAGTCTCCCCCCCGTCTGACGGAACATCTATGTTGCCATGGTGAGGGCCGAAGAAAGTGAAGTAGGATTAATGGCTTTGACACTGGAGAAATTGGGTCATTAAAGGAGGGGGGAAAGGGAGGGGGGGGGGGCTATGTTAAAACAGCCGCCCATCATTTAAAACTGCCTTCTGTGTCACGACGCGTTGCTCCTGAGGTGTGAGGCAGGATAGAAACGGATAAGATAAGCTAGGGGGTGGGGGGGCGCGAGGGTGGAACTCGTGCAATGACTTTCCTCCAGCGTTTCAACCCAAAACTCAGGGCCGAGTGAAAGTGGGTTAAAGTGTGCGAGGGACGGGAAGAAAGGAGCTACAGTGTCACTGCGAGGGGAAGGGAAGCGTGTTACGTGTCCAAACCCGGCCGCTAAGTCTTCACCGACAGACGGTCTCCGGGCCCCTCCCACATCGGGACACTCCATCTCACGCCACAAACCACCACAGAGGGTCCTGAGCTAGAGGGAGAGATGGTGGCGAGTGGGGACAGACATACTGTTTGACTGATGGCGTCTCTACGGCCTAAAAAAAAAAAAAAGAGACACAAATATGGGCAAGACGTTGACAAGGGACGCGCACGAAACAAGTAAGAGGATCATCGCAAATAATCAAGTGGGTTTTGGCTAATTAAGTACCGATCTGAGGGGGAGATGAACCCCGCCCCCCCCCCCCTTCACCCTCCCTGCGAAGTCTCCTGCTGGACGACAAGTGTCTGATGGCTGCGCGTGATTGGCTCAGACGGCGAATGGCTCAGTAGTCATGGCACCGTGGCCCGACGTCGTGTGTCCGAGATGACGCGCGGCCGCCCCGGCCCCGCCCCCTCGCACAACGCTCGTACCGCTTCAACAGTCCATTTAATAGTCCGAGCTGGATCCTCGCTAGGCGGCGGGGTGAAAAGCTGTACAGGTCGTTCCCTCGCCTCATCCCGACACACCCGTTTGGCGAGGGAGACGCTTTACATTCAAGTGCGTGTGTTCTACACGTTTTGCGGCTCCGCCCCTTTGCCGAGGCTTTTCCAGTGGTCGTGACAGTTCCATCGAATAATAGTCAGCGTTTGTGTGCGAGACGCGGTGGCGGTGGTCATAGCGGCCGCGGCCGGTGCAGCCCATCGATGTCCGGAGTGAGCTGGGGGCTGTGGGTGGCCTTGCTGGGGGTCCAGTCTCCCAAGGAGGCCTGGGCGGCCTTGCGGTGAGCCAGGCGATGGGTGATGGAGAAGCCGGCGTTTCCTTCCAGCTGTGAAAGCACCACCAGCACCTGCCTGCAGGGGGAGACAGAGAGCGATGAGGGACAGACACGGGAGGGCAGCGCGAGTTCAAGGCCTCTGGGGCTTCTGTCGAGGAAGGTGACCCTTCTGAATACAAATGCAGCCCAGGATGAGGAAACAAAAACAAAAAGCTCTCCCAGAAAAGGCTGACCTCCGCTCTCCGGCCCGCAAGTGTGCCACTGATCTCAGGACTGCTTCTTAGCTATTCAGCCGAGTTGAAGCTCGGGTTTGAGGGAAAACAAGGTGCTAAGTCGGCACTGGAGTTTTTCTGTCTCAGGCTATTTAGAGAACCGGGCGAGGTGACACGGCGACAGTTATTCACGCCTCAACGGTCTTAACGATATCCTGAGCTGCACCCCAGTGACGATCACAAACGTGCTTGGCAAGCTGCTAAATGTTTTCACCTACGAACTGATTGCATCGCAGCGCGTACGAACAGCCGACGGTGATTCTCAACAAGGGAACTGACAGATAGTCAGAGGAAATGACATTATTAAGACACGGCCCTCACACATGGGAGACTTTTTAGTTTCCCATTATGCGTGGGACACAAACTCGAGCCGATGAGGTTGTAAATTGAGATGAATACATACATGAACATTCCATGGAGTAAATGTCCAAAGAACTTAAATTCAGATAAACCTAATGACGTGTGCACAACTCCACTGTAGTGCATTTCATAGCAGACAATTTGCGTAGAATTCTCTCTCCAACGGGGATCAACAGAAAACAGAAGCTCTTCAGTAGCGCAGCGCTACTTATTTCACGTTTAAATAAGTGCTGATGTGTGTACGGATCTAATCGCCTAAAGGGCCAAATGTTTGCTGCACCGGTGCCGAATGCTCCCGGGCTGAGGAAGAGTACCTGTGCAGAGGCGGCACGCTGTCGATGGTCTTGAGGCTGCCGCGCGTGGACACCACGTTGAAGCTGTCGGTGCAGTCGCAGGACACGTGGAGGTAGTATTTGGGGTGGCGGTTCTCCACCACCACGATGAGGCCCGCCCAGCCGTGGGTCAGGTAGTAGCACGTCATGCCCTCGCGGCCCTGGGAGGACACACGGAGGGGGGGGGGGGGGGGGGCGTTAAAAAAAACACACGGCTTTCTGCTGCAATGACTTGTGGGTCCTTTGAGGAAACAGAAAGACTGCTGCATTTTTTTAAGTCTCCCTGGGGTCTCAACTCATGCCTCTCGCCCTTGTTCTCCGTCAGGAGGATGATGTCGTCGGCCAGCGTGGTGGCCATCGCCTCCAGCTGCTCCACCATCACCTGCCTGGAGCTGTAGATGGCGAGGATGTGACCGGGAAAGTCTTGGCTGGGACGCCGCGCCGGCCCGCTGGTGGGACTGGAGACTGCGGGGCAGAGAGGAGCGCATGCTGCCGGTCAATCAAGGGAGGGGGGCGGGCAGGGGGGTGTTATGGCTCTCATTCAGGAGCAACCGGAGCTTACCGGGCGTGGGCGGCGCTCCCGTCCCGCTGACGTTCATCTGCCAGTGGTTGAAGGCGCAGCAGACGACGGCGTACTCGCCGGGCTCCAGCATCACGTCGCAGCCGACGAACTTCTTCACCGCCCGCTTGCTGTGGGCCAGCAGGCGGCCCAGCGCCAGCTTGTTGCCGCTGCCGAAGGAGGCGCGGAACACCATGATGCAGAGGTCCAGCAGGTGGCTGTCGGCCGTGTCCGACCGCCTGCACGCAGGGAGGGAGGGGGGGGGGGGGGCGGGGTTTACCCGAACAAAAAGGTGGGGAGGGGAGGAGGGGAAGAAAAGTGGGGACTAACAGGGCGGGAGGATTTTCTTGTCTTCTCTTCTGGAGGAGCGCGAACTCCAGCGGCGTCTTCTCCAGCACGGTGAGCGCGGGAGACGGTGAACGGCCCGGCTGGGCCTTGCAGGGGAAGCTGCCCTGCCAGCGCACCTCCTGCCAGTCCGAGTGGATCTTGCAAGATGTCCACGGAGTCCAAAGTACCCTGTCGGAGACGGCTTTTGATTATCAGCACCAGAAGGTCTTGTCTTTTGGAGACGCCGACAGTTTGACTGCCTGCACCCATCCCACCCCCCCCCCCCCCCTCCGGAACCCCGGCCCCCCCGGCACCCTATTTGTACACCTCACAAGGAACTCGTTACGTTGGCACAGCCTCTGTACAAACACCATTTTCCCTGCTCACACATCGGTTCTGCTTCGTCAAAAAGGCCCCGAGAGACACAATGTCTCTTTCGGGTGTTTCATCGCTTCCTCACCTCGCGTCTCTCTCTTGCCTTTCCGACGGGGGGGACGTGCTGGACCTTTGATCGATGCGAGTATGTGGTGTTTTTAAGCGGTATAACTACTCTGTCAGGCCTGCGATGAGGAACCGACACGCTGACCACTTTTTCTCGTTTTCACGCAGGCGGACGCCGTTCTGTGGTCTCGTCCTGCAGTACGAAGCGGAGAGATTATCTGTCCGTCGGAGAATGCAACGAACAGAAGTGGGAGGACGGGTGGCGTTTTGCTCTACACATTTTTCAGGTCTGAGTTGTTCGGGAGGGAATCGATTCCTCTGCACGTGATCCCCTAGCTTTAGGCAGACTACTAACCCGGTGGACTCCGTGACGACGGCCATCGATCAGATGGTTGTCGGGGCGACTACGCTCTGGTGCACGAGAACTTTTTGTTGGTGTAAAATCGAGTTACGCGAACAAAATATCAAAAGAAATTGTTGGCAGCTCCCACCGGTTCTCAAACTTTATTGGATTTAGTTTGGCCGTGATTCAATACAGTCGTTTTCCCAACATTATGGTTTATGTTTGAGCCCAAAGCAACAAACTCCCTATTATGTCCCAGACTACTTTTCCATCAAGCTGCTACAGGCAGCAGTGTTTACTGAGCTCCACAAGGTCACATGGTGTGGAATAAAAATAAAAAGAATTAATAAAAAAACACACAGAAACACAAGTCGATGCTCGGCGCTCTGTGATCAAATCACGGGATCAATCTGAAAAACACTCTCACGGCCTCTACGAGCCAAATCCCCGTTGGCCAAAGGAACCACGAAAATAACACAAACACAAGACTCCATAACAACGCACAAACAAGTACAATGTACTTACGCCCGTCATCGCACAGTTAAAGGAGCATTCCACCCGTAGTCAGTGAACAAAGGCTCTGGGTGGTAGAGGTCAACTTTGTATTGAGTGAGTAAACGAAAGCGTGAGCTACTTTACAAGAATATCCCCATCGACGCGTTTTGCTGTTGTAATGGCCGCATCCGTCCTGGTACACGGACGGCAAATAACCCACGAAAACAACTTACTTAATGAAGTCGCTGTACTCCATCCAGAAGACCCCCTCGCTGCTGCCGTGGGCCATCAGCTCGTGGCGCAGGTTCTGGGGCCAGTCCGTCCACTCGTCCGACCAGCTGCCGTTCCACGAGAAGCGACCCCACGGGTTTCGCAGCCGCAACAACCTGGAGGCGAAGAATCCCGTTAGCGACGGACGCGCTGTGGACTGCCTGTTTATTTTAACAACCCATTTCATTTTTACTGCCCCTCCCCACAGCGAGGAACACCGGATTGGTATAACCCCGTCTATCCCGAAAAGACGTGGAGGGGAATGTGCGTCTCGCCTCTGGCGGGGGACTCCAGGTCGTTTTAGGCCGCGGCCCAATCTTCCACTCCGACTGTTTTATGGCAGTAAACTGAAATGCTTGTGTGGGATTTACAGCTTCCCTCAGGGGTCGGACGAGGATCCCTGCATTGTGTTGTACAATACCTCCACAAAGGGGCCTCTGGTCAATCAAACAGAGTTTGTGTTCATTCTTGTTTCCATTTCAAATATTTCTGTTGATAACATCCGTGGCATTAGTTAACGCAGACACACCTTGAGGTTCACGTTGAGATTCAAGAAGAAGTTTATGACATGGCCTCGAGTTCAGAGTTATTTAAATGATGTTTCCGAGAAATCAGGTTTTTAAATACTACAATACCCATGAGCCTCAGCCAGCGTAGGAGAAAGGCGAGAGGGAATTCAAATCTCTTCAACAGTAATCCCTCAGCTGCTGAATTCATCTAAAATCCTAAATGAATGGAATTAATTGCCAGATGCGCTGTGGGAGTCTCGTCTAATCTAATTTAAATTGACCCCATTAATATATTTTAGTAAATAAACTCTTATTTAACACCTTATGTGGCCAGGATGCAGAATAAGAACAGGTGGTAATATTGTCTGTTTCATTTAATATTAAGTCTACTGTATTCATTGATGGATGGAAACAGAACAAGAACAAGAAGAACTCGCAGAGAGAGACGGAGATCATCCCTCTCAGCTTCATACCTGAACCCCTGAACATCTCGAACGTCCAGGATGGAATAGGCATGTCGGGGCCGCAGACCCAGAGACTCATAGACGGCGTCGTCTACCTTCATGTTGCCTCCTCCGCAGGAAGCACCCATCAGAAACCTGAGGGGCGAAAGATTCACAGAACCGTCAGCGGGACGCATTCTGTTGGAACGCACTAAACGGGCCGGGAATCCACTCCAGCTTTGGAGCTTCTTCTGCTAACTGTGTCGGTGAACTACTACTTCAGTCTTTATTTAAGGTGGAGAACCTAAAGTTAAGTTAGCAATATGGAACAAGTATCCCCGTTTATCTGTTTTCTAGTTGTAACTGCTGATCCTTCTATGCTGATGCTGCTTATCTCCGTTTGGTAAAGTATAGCAATGTTGTTGTCATGATTTTCCAGGGCGTTCCCCTTTGATATATTGAATAATCCTGCAGGTTTTACTGACAGATCGTCCTGCGGTTTGGCCACAGAGGATTTGACCCCTTTGGAGTTCTGCTATCTGTCTCCAGTTGCTTTGAAAGCTCACATATCAAAGGTCTGATTACCGGACCCTTTTTGTTGCTAACACACGCCGCTAATTGCCATTCAGCTCCTTTGTTGTTGTGAAACACCTGCGTGTGTGTCGCTGCCGTGCAAGTGGAAAACAGTATCCTGTAGACGTACGTGTTCAGCTGCACGGTGGAGAATTAAGAGTCACGTGTGCAAACAACGATTTCTCACCCGGCCTCCTTGGAGCTGAGCATCTTGGCCCAGATGAGGTCCGTGTCGATGGGTTCCTCCCGCGGGTTGGTGGAGCTGACCTGCAGCATCAGGGAGTCGCACGGGGCCCCCGTCAGCGTGGCCAGGCCCTCGATGGCGCGCCCCGCCTGCAGGGCAAAGTAGGAGCCGTGGAGCTTGGCCAGGGCCTTCTCGATCAGCGCCACCCAGAGCTGCTTCCTCTGGGCCTGGAAGGAGGGGGAGGAGTTTGGGACTTGTTTAGAACCCGACGGCGCCGACTTTAATAGTTGTAATGTGGGTTTGTCTCATCCCCACAAATAACGGTCCACTTAACATTCTGTCCCGTATTCTCCCAGACGCTTAGTGACCATTGGGAAGTAATTAACCTGCACTGCCCGTCTATCTCCTCTGTCCCTGCTTCTCTAACTGTGGTGGTGCGAGAGGGTCAGTGTGTCTCTCCAGCATGCTCGGGCCCGCATTTGTGTCCCATGATGTAATACCCTCACTGGCCGTGTAATGGACATCCAGGTCCGGTCCTCCTCTGTGGGGCCCTTTGAGACTTTGAGTGGGATTAATAGCCAGATATTAAAGTAGCTGGAACTTTTATTAAGATGTTAATACTTAGGGAGTAAGGATGCAACTGCATCAATAAGGGGGGTCATGAAAGAAAGCACAGGGGAACTAATGAATGGCCAGAAATCAGAGACGGTATATGAAAAACATCCTTTCTGCACGGATTAAAAAATCCCTCACTAATCTGACATGGCACCTCTCAAACTCACAATGGACACGTCAAAATCCATGAAGCAGAACCAAAAACCGCCCATCTAACTCCCTGCAGGCTTCTTCCTTACCTGACACTTTACCTAAAACTACAACTCGACTCGGACGGCCTGCAGATTAAGCGTGCTATGCTAGCAGCGGCTAATGTAGCCCTGAGTCTCAGGAGAGAAGAGGAGCCGTGAACAGGACTGGTTCAATGACTCCATCGCTCTTCTCCAACATCTCGCACATTATGTGTGACGAGAACCTCCCCCCACATCCCGTCCCCCGTCTCCTCTGCCTGACCTGGGAGAAGAGGAGGAAGCCGTAGTCGTCGCAGGGCAGCATGTCGTCCACCAGCACCGTCGTCCACGTCCCGTCTTTACACAGCCGGACCTGGTAGGCCCCCTCTGTGCATATTGTCCTGGTGATCATCACTCGCTCCACCAGCTCCGGACGCTCTGCCAGCACCGCCAACGCACTCAGGAACCTGAAAGAGAGAAAATAAAGACTCGGTGAGTTGGAGAATGAAACGTCGGATCAGGATAGACGGACGGGTGAACGAGGAGACGGAAATAAAGCAGGAGTGCGCGGTGAAACAAAGGGAGACGGAACATGACCAGCTGATCGTGACGGACAGCTGGATGGCTGAGCAGGACCCGGCGTTAGTCAAAAAGACAGGCGGGCATGAAGATTGTCGGCAGGCAGACGCCATCGGAGGAGACAAAAAGAAACGGACTGACAAGCAGCCGCGAGGCTGTAAATGGAGAATTATTTCTTAAACACTAATTGAAAATTGAAAAGTCACATTTCAATGTCAATCTTCTATGCCTTGTGATTACTACCCATTACTGTTCATTCCCCTGCAGCATGAGACAAACTCCTCCTATTAGTGTGCAAGAGAAATTCGAAGCATTACAAAATGTTAATTCCGGGACGCGAAGACCACACTTACAGGAATACATTAGAAAGTGCACATTAGTTCAACTGGAAGTGTGGAACGGGATTACACAGTGTGATGAAATGGCTACAAACAGTGGAGGGTTTCGGGACAACGAGATAAAAATGTTCCTTTTTGTACGTTTCCCGACCCGCTTTGTTAAATGAAATAACGAAAAGATACCAAAGTCACCGACGTCACCGGTAGCAGTTTGAAAACATCTGCAAAGTAATTCAACGTTCAGTCAGGACGCCTTATGTGGCGCATTGTCAAAGCTACATCCCGTCTGTTGAGTGAGGCCGATGAGAATCAAATAAGAATCCAGTTAGCCGTGTCATCATGTGACTGTAACGTCGGCTTGGACTCAAGGACGAGGTGTGACTGGCACTACTTTCTTCTGCAGCCGGCTGAGAGGAGCTCGTTGTTTACTGGTTTATTGTCCCATCGTTTGTGTGTGTGAGGGAGACGGGGAGAGAAAGGGAGGAGTCGGCTTAGAGGGGGAGTTATTTCTGATTGGCTGCATGTGCTGGAGATGAAGTGAAAAGTAGTCTCGGAGCACTTTGTGACTTTTCATTGTTGTGTTTAGGGGGAAGATGGTGAATGTTAGAACACATATAACCCCCCCCCTCCTTAAAGGACACACACACAAGGTCAGGGAGATAAAAGCATGTGTCCAGACCCACGTTTGCGTGAATTATCTCCTTGTCAGGTGTATCTGTACATCTGTACGACTGCACTCGCCTCCCACTTTCACTCAACGCCCGCCTCCTTTTTTCAGTTTATCGCTTTCCTGTTTCCAAACTTACCGTTTCATCGCCTCTCTGTCACCGTCTCGCTCTGCTAGCTGCGGGCAGCGGTGTTCATCTGAACCCGACATGAAATACTATCTGTGGTCTGTTTTGTATTCCTCGGACCTCTCGGGGAGCGAACAGGAGGAACGTTGTTTCATTAATTTGGGGGTCTTTGGCTCCTCTCCCGGTTGAAGCCTCGTGTTTTTCTTTATGTAAACGATCTAGGCTGATTAGTGTCCCGTGCCGGTTTTCTGACAGCTCACCAGCAGTTTCCCAGCAGGCCTTGCAGGATGTCAGAGGGCCGCGGCGTGCGGAAGACGGACCACTTGACGCCTCGGTCTTTGAAGTTGCTGCAGTTGATCTCGTGGGGGCGGAGCCACTTTTTGATGCGCTGCTGGACGCTGTCGCCCTCGGGGAAGCCCACGGATCGAGGCCCCGGCGGGAAGCTGTCATCCACGAAGTTCACGGTGTTCTGAGCGTGGGAGGCATCGGAAGGCGGAGGGAGAAGAGGGAGAGGGAGACAACAGGGGTGAGACGACTGCTCCTCTTCATTATATGAACTCGCAAATAGATTCAAAAACAGCAGGTCGACTCTTCAGAGGAAAAACATCCTACTTAAAAACCTCAAAACCCCATTTTTAAAATCCATTTAAAAAAAAGAGTTGAGGAGAGCGCATGAAAATAAAGCGTTTCAGACCCGTCATACCCGCCTGGAGGACGCTTGGCGCCTTGAGAAGCGACTGCTAATCTCTTCCCTGCGTTTCTAATGCCACATCTTTTGCCGGTGGATAATGATTAATAGAGGAACAGATCCCGGGTGGAACACTGCTGCCTCCCACACGCAGTCACACGGGCGGAGGAGTTACTTCCACCGTTGCCGAGTGGCGTCACACACCTGCAGAAATCACCGTCAGAACGCTTTACTTTCCTTCCAGGGGGAGCAGGCGGAATTTGAAATGACACGCTTTGAGTGTCGGCCTCTCTCGGACCCTCTAGGACCCCGGACGACCTGACACACTATCTGCACCATCTCCAACGAGCCCGTGCACGCAGCACCCGGGGGCCACGCGGGCCGACCGATCCGGTTTCACCGTCTGAGGGGACGTGATGCAGGCGGCCCGCTGGGCGCTCGCAGTGAGGCGGGTGGATTAGTCTCCATCCCCACAATCCAATTCTGTGGTCTGGAAACGGCATGACGGTGTAGCTCACCGGCTTGCGGGTGACCCTCGTGATGGCTATCATGGTCACGGCTGAGGGGGCGAAGGGGGTTTAGCACAGAGGTGGAGGGGAAAACGCCACACACACCATCATCATCATCATCTGGGTCGGTAAGAGATGAGGAGAAGAAGAAGCATCCTGTTACGCTGCGATTAGCCTTTGTACCTCTAGAAGCCAGGGCGGTTTATGTGCATGATGTTGGAGTTTTTTGACTTATACATATTCCTATTCATAATAATAGGATGAAAAAGAAGACGAGATAGAAATCTATTCGCTGATTCAAGCTCAAACGGAGCAGAGAGACATAAAAAATATATTAGTGGGGATGAAAGCATAAAGCAGGAGGCTTTATGAAACACATTAGAACCGTACCACCCAAGGGGAAACGGACCATTGGGATGGAGCGAGGAGGATGCACACCGTTCCCAAAAAGCATTTTCCTGTCGCTCAGGTTGCAGCTATCGTCATCGAAGGGTCAGATTGCATCAGGGGGGCACACGCCGCCACGCAAAACCCAACTAGTCCTCGGTCAGCCGACTCAAGAGGAAGAAACCCAGTTAAAAACAGTTAATTCGCACACAGTTTCGTTTCCCGCCCGCCCCACCCAAAGGGGAGGACATGGAGAAGGAACACGGGAACCGGCTTCAGCCCTGCTAGGTTTAACAGCTCACAAGCGGCGCTGATGGCTGGAAGTGGCGTTTGCTCGCCTGGCACGGTGAGTGAGCGGACACGCTCTGGGGCTCTGGCATCGAGCATGCACACACACGCACGCACACACACACACACACACACACACACACACACGCGCACACGCACACGCACACAAGCACACGCACGCCTCTAGCTTGGAGAAAGCAATCAAGAAGAGTAGAGGGCGAGGAGGCAGAAGAGACAGACTGGCAAAGAGGGGCGCAGGAATCATACGTCTTGCACCAGCACCTCGGCTCTCGGTGTGCTCCCTGCCGTTTGCTGCAATCCGGACCAATTCACGAGCAACGAACACCGTATGTTTCATCAGCAATCTGATAGAACCCAACGAGTCGAGGACGAACGGCTGAACTAACCCAAGAAATGGAAGAATGAACCAAACGCATCGGAAACCTTCCCCTTTGTCCCGTACGCCGCCCGGTAGCGGGGGTCAACCAAAAGGCTTCTCATCGGCATTGCACTTTTATTTCCCACTGGTGTTTTGGCGCTCGCCAGGTGTTGCCGTGACAGCGATGGATCCTCTCTAACGCCGTTCATCTGTCTGACCCCCAGGAAGAGAGCGGCAGCAGCAGCTGATGCCGTCAGCGATTGCATTCACTATCGGAGAGCGAACGATTCCTGCTCCCCTTCTCTACACGCTCCGCTTCTAAAAATAGGCCCTGTGTTCACCTTAGAGCACACACGCACACACACACACAAACACACACACACACGCTCACTCAGCGACTGCTACACGGGAGGATTGAGTGCAGTGGTGTGGAGAGGGTGGGACGGGGGTACGGTGGGTGACAAGGAGAAAAGCATATTTTGAGATAAAAAACACACACAAAAAGAAAACTGGATGAGCGTGCGAGGATAGATGTGAGGGAGGCAGAGGGGATGAGAAGGAGATGAAGAGGGAGAAGTACTTTGAAGAGCACACAGGGGCAGAGTTACAGGGAGCGAGGCCTAAAATATTTGTAGGAAAAAAAAGGAGGAAAGGCGGTGAAAGGAAGACTCGCTTAAATGTTGATCTTAGATGGGGAAAAGAGGAGGGGAAGTTGGGGAAGAGGTATCTGTGATGTCCTTCCTTCCTACTGATCCCTCCCACGCTCGCTGCAACGGGGCCGGGGACTTTCAAAGACGCCATTAATAATGCAGACGCACACTTGGTGACATTGTAAACATCGCTCGATAGGTGCGATGCCTGTGTGGTAACGGGGCACGCAGAAGACAACAGCTTAAATTCAGTGAATAAGAATAAGCCAGCCATCTAAAAATGAACCTTCCTGACAGCCCTGAGTAGCAGATATCCATGGTAACATAACACGTACCTGTCAAAAGGGATCGCAGGGGAAGTGAGCTGGAAGTGGTGGTGATACAAAGAGATAAAAGGTTTGTCAAGGCCTTTATTGCGGTTGCTAGGCGATACATCTCGGAGTCAGCTGTGACACGGTCACCAATCAGGGGCTCATGAATGACAAGACTGACCTCAAAGTCCTCTTGATCCTGATTAAAGGCGGTGGTGCTTGAGCGTGTAAAAACGCATCATTATTTTAGGTTGTCATGACGACGTACGAGGCTGGGATTACAAAAGCATAATTGCGTTTTTCTCTTTTGGAGAAAAACGCATGGTGATTAACTTCTGACATTTATGCAGCTTAATGAAGATAATTTAAAAAAGGAGCATGCTGTCTGTGTATGAATATATACACACACAGTCACGTTTAATTGCCTGTGAGAGATAATCAGGATCAAAGGTGTCTAAAAGTAACCCGCTGGCCATGCTAACGAAGCTAACGAAGCTAACAAAGCGCAAAGAGCAAAGGGAGGCAATGACGCCGCCTGTCAGCCTTTCTCTGAAATTAGAGATTGAGGGATTGAGGGAGTGAGGGGCGATGCCAGAGAGCGAACAAAATAAGGAAGGGGGCGGGGCTCTGAAAGGCCTGACTGCACACCAAAATAAGATTACGTCGAGGGAGCCTCAACAACATGTGAAGAATCACCTGTTCACCTTTTGAAAAGGTAACTCAATGTTAACAAAGTGATGAAATAGGTTTCTCTCACCTCTCTGCAGAAGGTGACTATGTTCTCCAGAAGCTCCTTGGCCTCGCCCTCGTCGTTCCGTCGGCGGGCGTCCACGTGCATGCTCTCCCGTCTCTTGAGAGGCTTCGCCACCTTGCGCAGCGTGAGGTACTGCTGCGGCGTGTGGCAGGCGGCGCAGTTCTTGGCCTTGGTGTCGTTGAGCAGCGTGCACGCGGGGCAGCTCCACTGCCCCGCCCTCTCCTGGAGGCCGGACGAAGCGGAGGACGAAGGGGAACTTGACGAAGCGACGGCGGAGGAGGCGAAAGGGTAGCCCCGGGCCTGCTTCCTGTTTACATGACCCGAGGAGGACGAGGAGGGCGTGCAGGAGCACGACACGGCGCCGCAGTGCGCACAGCAGCGGGGCGGGGCCACCTGCTGCTCCTGGAAGCCGTGCAGCTTGGAGGAGCCGCAGGCCGAGCACTTTGGCGCCCCGGTGGGGTTGCGCAGCGTGCACTTGGAGCAGGCCCAGGTGCTGAAGTCCGGGCTGGAGGGGCTGGCCGGGGTGAATCGCACCGTCTCGCAGCCCACCAGGTCGATGAGGTCGGCGCCGGCCCGCGACGTGCGGCATGTGTCGCACTTGGACGAGCTCCCCGGGTTGGCCGGCGTGCAGCCGGGGCACTTCCAGGTGGGGCCGGCCGAGGAAACCACAGGGAGGTGGGGGACCAGAGGGTGGTGCTGGGCATGTTCCTCTTCCAAGATGCTGAGGCGCTTGCTGGGGTACGAGGGTTCCTGGGGCTGGGCGTGTTTGGGCTTGGCCGGCCGCTGGGGGGGCACACCGGCTGCCGAGGGGGAGGTGGGGCTGGGAGTGTTGGCGCCCGGGTTGGGCGGTCGCCCCGTAGGGGGCACCTCCCTCCGGCTGCGGGGCACGGGGTTGTTCTGCAGGGAGGAGAAGGTAGTGAAAGGGGAGGGGAGGGAGACATGGGGAGTTTCCTGGGGGTCACAGGGAGGGGCGGGGGGAGAGTCATCAGTCAGGTCGATGAGCATCGGGGCGGCTCCTGCCGTGTGAACGGGAAACCCCAGCACGGGCGTGCGCACCTCGGGCACTACCAGAGCCTCGGGGGGGATTTTAGGCAGAGACAGCTTTCTGGGCTCGCCGCAGGCGGAGCACGACAGGGCGACGGGCGTGTTGTGCAGCGTGCAGCGGGGGCACTCCCCAGCTCGGGCACACCCAGCCTGCGTGCTGCCCCTCCACTGCGCACACCTCTCCGTTGCTCTCGGACCGCCGCGGCACTTCCTCCTCGGCCGGCTGCTGCCCGTGGGGCTCGAGGAGAACCCGGCGTCGGGGGGGCGGCGGGCGTCGGGGGCTCCGGCGGGGCAGACGGGAGGACGTTGGCGGCCACGGGGGCCGGCAGGGGCGGGGGCGCGTCGGGGCACTGCCCGAAGCCGCAGACGGAGCACGCTCCGGATCCCTGAGGGTTGTTGAGCGTGCAGCGGGGACACGCCCAGCGCTGCTCCTCGGTGCTGCTGCTCAGCCGCAGGATCTGGTTGAGGTCGGGTTTCTGCCGCGGCGCCTCGCAGATGGAGCAGCGCGGCGCGGCGCCGGCGTTCAAGAAGGTGCAGCGTCCGCAGGACCACTCGCTGCCCAGCACCGTCGCCGCCATGGAGCCCGGAGAGTGGGAGTGGCTGCGAAACAGAAAAACAAGTGAGTCAAAACAAAAGTCCAACAGCCAAGTGAGTCAGTGGAACATTGTGACATTGAAGAAGTGACCTCAATGATCGGTTGAGCCACTGATGTTCTGTGCCATTTGTGAAGAAGGTCAGTGGAGCAAAGGATGAGGGAAAGAAGAAGGCGGAAGCAATTGCGGTCAGAGAGTAAACCTGGGTTAAAAAAAGCCAGAGAATGAATAAAATGCTCCCAGTCGAGTCAACTAAGGAGAACCATCTAAAAAAAAAAAAAAGCAGCGAGAACATCGCTGCAGGGGGAGGCGAGATCGGTCAAATTAGAAAAGAAAAATAGAATGCGAGAGGGAAAGATTAGCCAGTGCAGGGGGCGAAAAAAATCAAATCTCCCTCCTGGGGGCTCAGAGGGTAGTAAATCCATACACAATGGCCACATGATTAGAGTCAGGGAGACAGCGCCGGGAAGAGGCGGAGCCAGAGGAGAGGAGGAACACGAGAATACTGACTGACGCTTATTGGAATTGAAAAAACACGAGGGATCTCCTCCACTTCGCAGGAGCACTCCTCTGCTGTCAAGGCGTACATGCAAATGCAGGTTAGCAGGGGTCAACTCGAGGGGGGGGGGGGTCACGTCGATCCTTTCCTAATGAATATCCAACGCATGGCGACGCGAGGAGATTGAATCCACATTTTGGAAGGTTTTCTTTCCATCTCGTCGGGCCACTCACACGCTTTCCTGGCTCCTCCTACAACACGATGGATTGACTTCTACGTGCGGTTCATCCGGTGAGCCGATCGGCCTTATCGACGCGGGTATGTTAGAGCCTTAGGGGGGGGGGAAGCGACGCAGTTGGATGCCTAGAGAGAGGGAGGGGGACGGGGGACGGGTTGCTTGCCCCGGGGAAGGGACGGACCCATAAATGTCACAGTCAGTCAAGCTGCTCATGTGTGAACGCCGCCGCAGAGATGCTAATGTGGGAATGGCGGGGAGGTGTTCGGCGATGCTCTTCACAAACGGGCCGACGCTCACACGAATCAGCATCTTGTTCATTTGTTTTGGTTGGAGGGAGCAAGGCTGCTTTCTGGGAAATAAACGGTGTATGTGGCTTTTAGTGCAAACGTCTTTACACTGTGGAATTTTTTAGGATGAAAACAGATCCTCATAATTCGTCTGTTTCAACGACCTCACCGCCACTGTGACGTTTCAATCTCCGCTGCAGCGCCGTGTGTCCCGGCCGGCTAACTGCCCTCAGCTGAACTCCATTAAGCCATTTCAAACCGGGCGGACCCTCAGAACCCCGGGGGGGGGGGGGGACATCTGACAGGAACCCCTCCAGCTCCCAGCACATCGTCCTCTCCTGTGTGTGTGTGTGTGTGTGTGTGTCCCGACGCTCTGCGTGAGGAGCCATCAGCACAGCATCTATTCGTCCCGGGCTGAAGTCGGCCCTCCGGCATTAGCGAGGACCTGCTGTGTGAGGAGGAAACTCAGTCCGCCAATGATAACAATGAGCCAAACCATTTATATCAAGACACACGAACGCTGAGAAATCAGCGCTCCGCTCTTTGTTAGGCTTCGCCTTTCATCACAGGGGGCTGTTTGCAGAGCCCCCCACACACACACACACACACTCTGCGTCCTCATACTACAGCGCCCACGTTGAGCGGGGCGTGGTCGAGGCGAGTGGCGCCCCGTGCCGTTGACGGTGGCACATGTTCACGCCGGGCCTCCCAGAGGGCCGCCGACGGCGATGTGTCAGCGCCTCGCGCTCGGTGACAGCTTCCTCTCCGCGGCACGCTTTCAGAACCGCCGGGCCGCTTACGCCTCGGCCGACGGAGCCAAGTCACGCCGTTTCCATTATCACACTTATTTATTTATTTTAATCTTATTTTAATGATGTCATTATTACCTGTCGTAAGCGCAACGCACATCAAAAGTACCGCACAGCGACCGCACACTAATTATTATGTCTCTCGATTAAAAAGGATGTATTAGGAGTGCGCACACACACACACACACACACACACACACACACACACACACACACACACACACACACACACACACCTTTGTATGTGCAGCAACCGCCTGCAGTTGATGACAAACCCGCCGTGGCCTCTGATCCCTGAATCCGACATAAAAGGATGCTTCTCCTGGAATATGCTCCGGTGGTGTGTACACACACACACACACACACACACACACACACACACACACAGACACACACGCACACACACACAATCGCAAACCTTTTGTCCTTGGCCCTGTGCTCAGTGGAGAGTGGCGCTGCTCTAAAAGTGCCCACTTCAGCTCCTCAGCGTTGCAGCGCTGGGCGAGTCGCCAACGGCTTACAGTGTGGAGAGAGAGAGAGAGGGGGGGAGAGAGAGAGAGAGAGAGAGAGAGAGAGGGGCCCCTCGATGCAGCCCGTTGTCCATAAAGTACAATTAATTAAAGTAAGAGCATCAATGAGCCCGTCTCTCACGACCCCCCCCCCCCCCGCCGCCTCGTGTGAGACAATCATAGAGCACGTCGGCTCTGTGAGAACAAGCAGACATGTAACGGAGGATGTGTGTGTGTGTGTGTGTGTGTGTGTTGCCTACAGTCGGCGACTTGGATTCACTCCACAATGGCTCAGTGGTGCAAAACCTTTGTGCAGCAGCGATTATCCCCAAAAAAGTGCATCCCCTCAAAAGGGAGCGTCGCCAGGATGTCGATTAAATTCCACTTGCCAACAAGCTTGATGCTCCAGAAAATAGGTTTCTATGTCATTATTAACTTTTAAGATATAAACGGCTTAGTTTTAATAAAGCAATGGGCGCTGGTCGAATCAAATCATGGCAAAAGACTCGTTCTATATCCTCAGCATTTGGATATTTTGGCCGCAAGTTCAAGCAATTCCCAGACACTCGTGTTGAGTCTGATAAATAATAAATAGGTAATTAATACTGCAAATAATCGGATACTGCCTCGCCTTTACGCCTAGTCTGCTCCCCCGGTTGCCTCAGTGTTACCCCTATAATATTTCCTAATGAACTGTAATGTATTATGGACTGACGCTTAGATAAACCTTTTAGGGACGATAATTGCTTATTAATCATTTATTACATAGCTCTAACTCGTCCAATATTCCTGCCTTTACTTTCTCATTCATGTTGAACTAAACAAACCGATGATGCATTTGATTTGCTTTGGCTTTTGATTTGCTCGATACTCTGATCATCCATTACCAACAGGCGGTGCGAGGCCGGACAACCCAAAGTCGCCCCACGAGCTCCAGGTGAAGCCGCCCCCCCCCCGCCGCCCCCCGCACACGCCCTGAAATAATGAGTCACTCTTGTGATTAATATATACGAGCGCGGTATTGCGATCCTGTAGCTTATGCAATGTTTGAGTTGGATAAAGAGCACAGCTTCAGGTTCAGACGAGCTGTGAAAAAAAGAAAGAAAAAAAGCGGGTAATGAATGTTGAAACATTCTGCACGCAGCAGAACTCCTCCGACTCCTCTGACGGGGATTAGATCGGCACTCACACTTCCTTCAGTCACACAGACAATTCATTTTTCTAATCTTTGGTAATGAACGCAGCACTACTGGCAAAGGGGCTTTTGTTGGATCTTTCTTACTCGCCAGATCAGAAGATATTTTACACCTGAAAGCAACAAAACAAAAAAACTGAAAAATCCCCGAGCACGCACTGCCGAAGGCTTGAGAATTACCTGAAACAGCCTCACTTCTCCCCAGCAGATAATGTGTCACGGCATTAAAACATGACTCATAGCTCAAGCCGACAGGATCTCCGCAATGAATTACTCCCAACCAACATGACGGAGGAGAGTCAACAGCTGCAACTAATCTTGAGGAGGAGGATCGAGGGTGAAGAGAACTGCGGTGACGTCACGCCGGGGATCGGTTACCGCCGACCGCTGAGTCATAAGGGACACGACAACAACGCTTTTTTTAACGACGCTGCCGGTCGCTGTCGTCGGCGCACAAAGGCCGGCGGCAATTAGGCGAAAAGGTATTTTGAAAAGTAGCTAGTTGCTGAGGCGACGCTGCTGTGGAGGAATATCACGAGGAGAGAGACAAGGCTTAGTGTTTTGTGGGAACGTGATTATGACTCAGATGGTCCTCCTCACCCCTACCGCCCATGATGCAGCCCTCAGAACGAGTACTAACTAGCAAGATTTTAGATACAGAGAATTAAAAGAACGGTCTAAAGAGGCTTCTGACCCCTCGCTGTGCCCTCGGTGAATATTTCACAACTTGGTGCTCATTTTTGACGAGTGAATCTGTCGGCGGAGGAGACAGCTTCAGACATTTGAATCTTTAAACAGAGGAAACTGTCCGACCGGGTTTCAGCGGACATCCAGTAGCCCAGAGCAGAGAGAGAGCCGGCAGGAAGCTCGAGAGTTGGGAAAGGCGGGGGACCGGGAGGAGGGGCGCAGGGGGTCAGCCGGGCGCCGCTCTGATGCTCTGCCGGGTACCCGGAAACCTGGGAGGTGCTGACACAGCGCTGCCGCCTTCAGCCGGAGGGGAACTTCTCTGACAGGCGGCGCAGAGCGGAGCTTCACTTCCCGTTTCCGTCCCGCCCGTTGGGCGTTTTCTCCAGAGGTGCAATTTGCTGGTACGCGGCGGGCTGCCAGGTTACCGTGTGAGCTCTTGTCTGAGGCCCAATGGAATTAGGTTAGGAGAATGTATGCCACAGATTTCCATGGCAACAGGAGCGGGGAGCATCTGGAATAAGGAGGATCGGTTCTGGAGGCTCGGGGGAAGGTCCAGTCTTCATCAGATGAGGCGACGGGGAAGACGCCCCTAAATGATGGAGGCATAAACACGGTTGGTGACCATACAGGTCGAATCCAAGTCCCCTGGCCGCCGGCGCCGCCGTCGTAATCCAATTAAAGAGAGCAAAGCCGGCGGAACGGAACTGCGATGAACGCCGTCATCCATCGCGCTGGGACAGCGGAGACGCCGCGATCGCCCCCGGGGAGAGCAGGCCACCTGACTCGGAGGGTCCCCGGGGGGGCGGGGGCAGAACATGCGCGGACCACTCTGTTATCTCCCACCATAAATAGCATTGGGGTGTAAAACTGGGCCGCTGACGAGACTGCGATCCCAGAGTGATCACGCGGCTACAACTCTGCTGCACGCCGGTCGCTGGCGCCACAGGCCGAGGGTACCGATTGAGCGCACACTTCCCCAAAGTCAACGGGTCGCGGCTGGGTGGAGACAAATTGAAAAAAAATCCCCCAATAGCACGGGAACCTGCTCGTGCGGCCTCCGAGCCAAAAGAAAAAAATGGGTTTTCCGTTTTGGACGATGTCGCGGAGAACAAACTAAAGGGAACGGCTCGAGTTAAGCCGGTCTTGTGGCGTGTTGTTTCTATATTTCATGCTCGGTCACAGCTCGCCAAAGCGCGCCTAACATTGTTGGGCTCACGCTGCTGTGCGTGCATACGGCCGCCAGTGAGTGTGCGTGTGAGAGGAGCGGGTGTGTTCTAAGTGCTACTGCACGGTGTTCCTAAAACATCTATTGTCAGAGTGTGTGTGTGTGTGTGTGTGTGTGTGTGTCCTGCTCCTCCTCCCAGCGATTCACTCAAACCGCCAGGACCCGTCCGCCTGTCTCTGGGAGAGCAGATGACTTCGGGTGGAGTCTGACTGGTGGTCGAGGCGCGTTGCTAGACGTATGTGTGTGAGTCCGCTGGATGTAAAAAAACAAAAACATGTGACTGCATGACAGCAAACTACCCTGACGCCATGACCTTAATGGAAGCCTGTTTCAGCCTCTGCCGAACGCAGCCGTCTATAAGCCGTGACTGCCTCGACTGTTAAACGCAGAGTGAGCTGCAGGAGGAGCATTGACAGCGAGAATCAACAACGATCAAACAACTGGAGACCGACGCTGAATAAATAATGACATCCATTGAAGGGAAATGTGATCGGGCTCTCTGAAAAGTCAATAAACAACCACCGGACCGCGGCGTCCCCGGGTGACTCGGCAGCAGCTCAGACCCCCCGTTCCCGTTCCCGTTCCGTGGCGCCAGGAGCGAGGAGGAAGGAGCCCTGGGAACGGGTGGGGGCTTGGAGGGCGCCCTCTCGGACGGAGGCCGGTCAGAGCCAAACGGAGCTCCTCGCTGCTCGGGCCTTCGCTCTGCGTCGACGGTGACTCAAACCACGGACCTTTTCCTCGCGGTTGCAATTGATGAAATCTCTCTTGAGCAGTCGATTCGGAGAAAAGGCGGCGCGTGTGAACATCGTGTTACCTCCACAAATAGTTTGCTCCGCTCAATTACTCAGCTGCCGCTCGCTCAATAAAAAGTTGGCTCCCGCAGAAGCTCTGCAGAGGTTGTATTCTTGAAAAAGGAGCCTCTTGTTCACACCGAACCACAGATTGGAGATCTAGCCGCACTTACCCAGATAAAAATAACCCCCGGTTTCAATCAATTCTGGAAAGGGCTCTAAGACTGAGTCCAAGCTGGTCTTGAATCCTGGTTGAAAAGCCAAAAGCATGATAGCAAAACGCATCTCGTAATTACCCACGGGCTGGTTTCCATCGGGCTCACCGAGGGTGGGGTTAATCTGCCTGTCTGTGCAGGCAATCCACTCTGCACCGCGTGGGCAGCACACGCTGTACAGATGTGCAAGCAGCAACCAATGGGCTGAGATTTTGGTGCACAAATCCGGCTCAGCCAGATTTTGGGTACTTCATAAAAACAAAAAACATCAAAATGTAGGCTTTGATTAGATAAGCTTTAATGGAGAGGTGGGGGGGGGGGGGGGGTTAAACCCTCGCCATGAGGTTATTCAATCCTCTGTAAGGCTTTTGAAAAGCCCCGGAGAGAAAAAGCAGTGCCCTTGTAAAGAAGTGACACGCTCTCGCTGAAGCCAGGACAACGTGTGAGCCTCACACTCACAAATGGCAGCGTTCCCATGTAACACAGCACCTCGTTCCACTGACACCTCTGGCCCGGGGCCGCGCTCTTACCTGCGCTCGCGGTGAGGCAGCGGCTGCTGCTGCTGCTGCTGCTGCCGGGCGATGAAGGTGGTGCCCCACACCGGGCTGCTGTGGCTGTTCCTGAGCCAGCCCACGGGGGGGGGCGACGGGTACGAGGCGCTGCGGAAGCCGTGGTCCGACTCGGTCTCCGCGGTGAGAGACGAGGCCGAGCTCCCCATCGCCGCGGCAACGGGAGGTCAGTCTCTAGACGCACTCCGATGGTCGACCGGGAACACTCTCATTCAGGAAGACACACCGAGGTGCGCTCACACTAAAAACGGGCGGGGGGGGGGTTTGTAAACTTACTGTTCTCTGACTTCAAATAGGAAGAGTCCCCTCCAAAGAGACACTTCTGAGAAACAGCAAAGCAGCAATCCAAGATAAGGGTACACAACGAAATAACTTTCAGGGGTGCCGGGTGGATATCCCGCAGCGCAACAGGGGGAGCTTCTCAATTCAAATGGTGAGTGCGGATTCCCATCCAGTAGTTGGTCCCGCAGCAGAGAAAAGACAAGTTTTCTCACAGCCAAAGGTAATTCTTTCCCTTGCAGCCTTTAAGCCTGCAACATTCTGCACCGCGTCTTCCACAGTGCCACTCGTTATTCCCCCAGCGTTCCTTCCCACACACATTCCCAGTCCATTCAGTTTCATGCCCGGGTCCATCTTCCCTTTGCGCACGCTCAGAGAATCAATCGATTGGAGGAAGCAGGAAAAGGTGCGGTACAGAGGTCGATGTGTTCATGGTCTTTTAGAATCTAAGCTGCACCGCCGCTGTGAAAGGTCCAAGCGGTGGGGAGAAGGGGGAGAAAAAGCACACACCCAGGACAGCACAATAGCATCGTGGTCCATACAAACTAAATATATCCACAAGAGTTATTTACAATGTGGGCAATGGCGGAAATCAATGCATTGCATTTGCCGGGAAGGGCTTTCGTCCCAAGTGTCATCTTTCAGACATCCGGTCCGACTCACGGCTGCTGTGGAAGCTTAACCAGTGAAACACCCGGCAGCGTTTCACCTCGTCATGTTTGCACCCCCATGGCAGGCTTTTATCACAATTTGCGCAGGATTTTGGGGATATCCACATTGAGAAAAAGAAAAAACGAGACACCGTGAACATTTAGAATTCCAATTCTCTTTGAAACCTCAGCAGCTGCGCGACAGTGTTCACAGCTCAGCTTCAAACTTGTGTGCAACACCCGAGGACGTTCGGGATCCGGGTGCCCGGCTGCAGGCTGGAGGTGATCCTCGTTTTAGGGGGATCAGAGAGGGAGAGCCGGCTCACTTTGTGTCGGACTCCCCCCGTGTCGGGACGTGGACTTCGGTCAGCATGTCGCGGCGCTACGACCCGTCCGGGTCCACGGTTTACGCGCATCGATGTCTATAAAACCCTCAGGCAAAAGTAGAAGGGGGCGATATTTCCAGTTGGTGCCCCCGCCCCCCTGTTGTTGTTGTTGTTGTGGTCGCTTTATTTAGCATGAAACCGAGTCCTGGCGCAGCGATCTCGCGGGCTTCGAGCTGCAGTCGAGGGTGTAACAAAAAAAAAAAAAAAGATGATTCATCACCGATCGCGCCCGTACTTTCAGTTGAGCGCGTTGGCCCGCTTGTATCCTCCGGAGGAAAGGTGCTCCGCGTCGGCGCGGAAGCCAAGGGGAGCCCGCTGTGCCGAAAGGAGGGAGTTAAAACGAAAAACCGTCCGAAGAGCCAGAGGAGTTCTCCTCCGGGAGGGAGCCGAGCGCGCCGCGGTTCCGGCCGGGGTCCTTTTCGCGGGCGGCGTTCATCTCGCGCGTTGTCTCGCGTCAGGAGGCATCCTGGCGGCGGTCCCTCTGCCGCCTGCTCAGCGCCTTACAAAGCCGCACCGGCCCACACCGCCAGCACGTGATGGTGTCATTTTGGGCATGTTGTGGTCTCATATGCTCTTATCATCCTCGCCCCCCCCCCCCCGTCACTCTCGGTTATGTATTCTGACCGCGGGGCTTTAGTTCCCCCTCGCTGGGGAGCGTGAGCGCGGTGGACGAGGATGGACTCTCCTCCCGGAACAGCGGATTACTGGAGGGTCGGCGGGGCGCATGCGCACTGGCGCCGGCCAGCAGAGAGCAGCTGTGTGTGTGTGGGGGGTCGGGGCTGCGTTGAAGAGATCTTCAACAAAACCACGATCACGGGGAGTCACCGGGATCGGTCTCATCAGCGTGAAGAAGGTCCCGGTGCAGCGGCCCGGGCGGGATGCTGCGTGCTTACGCAGCTGTCTCGCAGCGTGAATATCGTTTTTTTTTTTTTTAACCATTGGCTCGTTGAGAAGAGGCCTCTGCTTTTATAGTGAACGCCAGAGGAGGAAGTGAAGGGTTAAGAGGAAGACAGCGGTGACTGCAACACCCATCATTGCTCAGCTGTCCGTGCACATTACTGAGATAAGCCCTCAAACTTTCCCTCTCCTCTCCTTTCCACTTCATATCCTTCGCTGACCTCTTTTCTGATTCCCTCATCCTCTCTTGGAAATGTCACCAACCAACCAAAAAAAAAAAGAGCCTATAAAGCATAGCAGGCCAGGCCGATGCCAATTTTTTAAAGCATTTATGGTTGCATGTAAGCAGTGGGTTAACCATTAACCGTCATTTCTCTGGAAGGCCCCCGAGTTCCACAGCAACGCGTGTGTTCCTGGCGCGAGGTCCCGGAGCACGAGTCACGCTCCTGTTGCCTAGTTTGAACGTGCGAGGGACTGAAACCAGTTTGTCCGGTAAACCCAATTCACGGCAGTAACGCCAGAGGAGAGTATCGGCTCAGAAATGCAAGTCACGGAGAGACTTGCGGTCCGGAGGGCACGGCTGTGGCTGTCATTGAAAAGCTACAGCTACAAGCTACAAGCTACAAGCTACAGCTGACACCGACAGCTCAACTGTATCCCACCACGAACAAAAAGCACAGGTTGTGCGGTCACATTTGGCTTGTTTCAAATCGATCATAACCACGTAGCAACACGCGTGTTATTGTCCAAACTAAAAAGCAGCCTTTCACACACTACACTGAAACAAATTGCTCATTAACCCCCCCGGAGGACGGTGGACTGTGAGCCTTTTGTTATGGGTGCACCTGTCCAGAGGCCACCTGTCTGTAAGTCAGCACCCAGAGAAACAGCAGCTGACACGGTCAGTGCCAGAGAGGGAGGAGGGGGGATTTTATGTCTGCTCCCCAGGGAGAGGAAGGAGGGTTGGAGGGGAGGATGTGAGCCGATTTCACGGTACATTGTAAGTTGTCATTTTCACACCACCCTCAGATGTCTCCTGCCCAGGGGACACCGGGGGGGACACCGGGGGGGGACACCGGCGGACCACAACGGAGGAGACGCTCGCGAGCGAATCACGTGCCACACATCAGGATGTTATTGTGATGGTGAAACCTTCCACCGGAGAAGAGGAAGAAGCTACACATTCAGGCCTCCGTCCGGTCACACACACACACACGTACCTTCTACCTGACCTTGCCCTTTGACCCCCCCCAAGCAGCATGGAGTCCGTCCGCGCTGACGTCGTGTGGCCCCGATACGTGCGGCGGGAATAACGTGAGGCGAAACCGCTGTCAGGTAACCGAGCTATTCGTGGCCGAACCGTAAGCCCGTGAGCCCTGTCACGGGCGTTTAACGTTACCCGCCCGAATAAACTCCTCGCAACACCCCTCCCAGCCCCCCCACCACCACCACCACCACCCCGGCGGCTCGGGACTGCCCGGACGCGGGGACCCGGTGTAAACAAAGACGCTCTCATTCAGCCGGTTGGTCGTCGACGCCGCCCGGGCCGGCGGTGTACTCCGTGAAGTCTACTCACCGGTCGGCTGTTCTTACCTCCGCTCGGCTCGAACGAGGGACGGGTTATTCCAGCTCTTTTTTCTCCCCCCCCGGTCGTCTGTCCGTTAACTTTTCACAGCCATGGATACGGTAAGTTCTTCCTCGGGTTGTACTTCGGCCGCCCGTAACCTCTCCGAGGCTTCAGCTTCGCGCTCTCCGCCGCCGCCGCCGCCGCGTGCTTTAGACATCTGTGACAAACGCGTACATGTAGGATACGGTTGTTGTTCTTCTCTTCTTAATCGGTCGGGGATACGCGAGACTTCATGCGACCGCGTCGGGTTTCTTTTCTTTTTTTTCTTCTTTTTTTTTTTACCCTCAAACAGCCCAGGAAGGAAGGGGAATCTCCAAGGAGCAAGTCGAGGAGGCGCGTGCGTCAAACGCGTAGCGGTTGGCCGTTGACGTCAGCGAGCGCACGTAAACGTACGTAAGGTTGGATCGGGAATACGAGGGTGGACCACTCAATTTCCCACAATCAACACGGGCATTTTCAACCAGGATATCCGGGTATGAGCGTCATCACGTTGGACCTACATACATAATCCAAATAAATATCTATAAATGTGTGTGTTCTTCCTAAGAAAAGCCATTCTTCAAATATGCTCTTTCCTATTTCCGTTTTTGATCATATATTATCCATACGCCCTTTTTGTGGTGACAAAATAAATGTTGAGTTTTAATCTCCGAGTGGACCTTCTACCTCAGGCCGGTGTCAGAGCTTGGCCCTCTGGTGACACCTAGTGGCCCCCAATCTGAACCTCAATTCTCTACCAGCTTTTTAAAATAGTTCTCTAAAATGATTTAATGTTGCATGTTTTATTTTGAAATAAAACACCCAGCGCCATTCATATGATCTAGCGGATAAAGGCTCTCTCCCTCTGGATATCACTTTCACCTGTCACTTTTCACTCGTCACTTTTGTCACGTCCTGTTCGCTAGTGCACTTTATTTTTTTATTTTTTAATATTTTTAACTTTATTCTTTTATTTTAAACTAACCCATAGCCTTATTCTACTAACCCATAGCATTAGAATTTTATTTTATTTTATTACTCATGCACTGATGTCTTGTTGTCTATTGTCACACTGTCTACTGTCACGCACCAACCGCCAAGTCAAATTCCTATGTATTCTATGTATGTCTGACATATTTTAGCAATAAATGTTTCCTGATTCCTGATAGAGGATCATATTCAAAGAGAACATATTTAAATAGGAGGCCTGACACCCCGCAAAAAATAATCCAATTTGGGTTTGACCATAAACTCTTCATAGGTCAACAAATAAGTCCATGCGACAAATAATAACATGCTTGTAATAGTATTTCTACTTTTATGGTGTTAGTACAATATTATTAGTAGTTATGCTTGCTGTTGCAACCACCATTAGCTCCACAAGGACAAATGAGTGTAAGTGCTCCACGGATCTATTGTATGGGGATAGTCGAAGCACTTGAACTGCAGTCTTAAATATATGGGAAATCCTTTTTTCATATATGGTGTAGTACATTACTACTGTGGCCTGTATTGAAGTAGCATCACCATGTATGTCAAATGCTAATTGCCATGTCAGCATGGAAATGGAAGTCAAACTTATTAAAAATAACAAGCTACTCGTTTGGAGAGTTAATTAATTGTTATAACAAAGATGTCTCGGTATTGCTATTTGGCTTTATTTATACTGTCGAAATGTTTTTTTTGTGTGTTGAGCAACACAAAGCAAGATGTATTCTACACGCCGTTTAGGTCCTTTTCACTCACAAAGCATCATAGAACTTTCCTTATTTGTTTTACTGTATTCTGAGTTCATATTTGCTGACTCCCCAGGCAACAGGCCGACGGGTAGTGTTCAACACACTCAAACTATTCCTTTAAACCCACGAGATAAATGATTTGAATGTCATTAGGGTAACAAGTGAGTAAGGATTACCTCTGTTAATGCCGGTGTCACCCGGGTTGTTTGAACCGGGGAACTTCAGAGGATTAGGAACAATATTAAGAGGCTCGCTGGACTTCAAAAGTCCAAAAAACCCTTATTAATGACTTATCGAGCTCATTCCCCCGTGTGCATTCAGTCCCCATCATAAACTTGGATGTGTGCTCGACCCGTACGTCGAGAACGAAGCGAGGCGGCGCGAGCGGCCTCCTCCGGTAGCGGCGAGGAGCCCGGGTTCGCGCCTCGCAGGCGGAGGAAGTCTCGGCTGGACGTCGTTCGCATGAACACCGAGCGTGTCTGCGGGCGGGGTGGGGGGGGGGGAGACATCGCGTGAAGTGACGTTTACTCGGGGACGAAGTTGGCGGTGGTGAGGGAGGAGGGAGGGAGGACACGGCCGGCTGAAAGGAAGAGGAGGAATCCTGCCTCGAGACGGTAACGTTACGCTTCATTTTGCCCCTCGTTAGAAACCCCGCGCACTTGTTCTTCTTCGCTCGAGACCCCCCGCCCCCCCCCGTCTCAACAGCAGCCTTACTCTTTCCGTGTTACCCCCCCCCCCCCCCTCGCTAGTAAGCCCCCTCTGTGAGTTGCTAGCTAGCCCACCTCGCTCGCGTCTCCGTGGGTGTATTGTGTTGGGTGGTCGGGGGTCGGTGCGCGCACACACGGTTGTCATGGCGATGCTCGGGAAACCCGGCGCGAGGCACGTCGGGAGACACAAAAGACACCCGCCCGCTCCTCCGTGTCCGGCGTCCTTCTCTTAAAGACTCCCACCGCGGCGAAAAGTGCAGGGAAAGTCTCCCAACGACAGCGCTCATCTTACTCCTCCGCTCGCCCCGTATCGGAGAACGACGGAGAAAGGGGACGCGTGCCGGTGAAGAGGAGAGCTCGTCGGTAAGGTAAGCGGGGGGGGGGGGTCAGGAGGACACGAGCTAAGGTGTGTCCTGTGTTTATGCCAGGGACGGAATGGGACCCCGCTAGCCGGGAAGGGGATGCTTTTAGTCGGCTTTGAGGGGCCAGTTACACGCGTGGAAATAACCTCCACAGTAGAGAGAGAGAGAGTGAACTACTCAATTGTCTCAGCGGGGAAAAGGAAACAAACAAACAAACAAAAAAGATGTCCGTTTTGGCAAGTTGTGTGGAAGGAAGGTGGGTTCAGGGTCACTTCACATGGTGGGAGGGCTTTATTTTTTTACCTCTGCTCCTGATGCAACCACGCACATAACATCACACCCGGATGGAGCAAAGCAAGTAGCCTCCGGCCTTCGCGTCGCTGATGCCAAGACCGGATACGCTCT